ATTGAAAGATTAAAGAAATGGATATAGTTGGGTTCTAAGTACTCCTGATTAAAAATTCCCTAATAGTACTTCTCTCTTCTTTCTCTTATGTTAAACAATTCCAGCTGCCCGTGACTTTAAGGAGAAGCAATAAGCAAAGCAAGGTTTTAGTGCATTTTTCAGTGATCTATCCAACAAAAAAATTATCAAAATCGATCCATAAACAAAGATTTCACAAGGGTGTACAATTCTTAAGTGGGACACACTCTATATAATAATGCTTGAGTCGTTCTTGGGCTTAAGTCAATGTCAAAATTCAATAAATTTTCTTTAAATACCGTGACTATAATGAAAAAACAATATAAACATCAAAGTGGACGAGTAAATTGAAAATTACACTAAGATTCTTGATAAAGAACCACATTGTGATCAAAACGATGGATAAAGCATAAAAATGACAATAATTTTTATAATATAGAACCACTTAATTAGTACAAAAAGTAAATATGACGGCTCATAATTTGAAAATTTCAAAACTTCATATCGGTATATGGCATAAAAAAATATTTTTGAAGTCTTTTTGGTTACTATATGATACAATGACAATAGGCTACTTACAACAATATATTTTTTTATTTACTAGAAATATGTATTAGAATTTTACACCCGTTTAATGTTTGAATCGACCTGGAAAATCGGCTGTGACGTTGCGATGAGCAGGAAAAATATTAAACACATAATCCATAACTTATTTAATGTAACGTATTATATAGTGTAAACTCAACCCATGAATATTTATTAAAATACTAAATTACTAAAAATAAGAACAAAGCAAAGTTGATTTTTGAGCCCCCCCTCTGTTCTGCCCAATCAAGAAATTCTTGGGCCTTGGGCCTCTGAAAATCATTTTTTAGTTATAGTCGTTGTTATTAAAATTGCTTAAAAGAATCAAAAGATTGCTCGAAAATTATGGGCTACCGCAGCAATAATGACAACAATTTCATATAATCCATACATAAAGAAATGGAGGTTTACTTAATAATTTTCACCGTCTGACATTTAGTTCACTAGTTAGCCAATCACACGGAGTTTTCGTATTAAGCCCCTAATTTTAATAACAAATAATTAACGTTTTTCCAAGGAAAATAATAATTCAGAATAGTATATTATGCAACAAGTGCGGTAAACGGCATTTGACTCACCAGTTTATTTGACACGAGCGGAGCGCAGCGGAGCGACTTTTTTTAATAAACGAGCGAGTTAAAAAGTTTATCAAACGTGTTGCATACTATACTTTTTCTAAGACCTTCAGTTTTTGGGTACATTTTCGCGAAACAACATTCACCGACATGACCGTCAGGATTGACAAACGTCAAAATTCAAAGCGTGGGAAATATGTCCGAAAACATCCGATTGCTCCCAAATCCGTGCGGTAAAATCCCGGATATATATCCGAAGTGGCTCGGATTCATGGGAAACGAAACTGACGTGGTAAAATGACGCTTCCCGCACGCTAGATGGTAATTCGGTATTTTACAGGCGGGAGTAGAAAAGAGGATTTATGATGCTTTGCCTTAAATGTTAAATTCAATCAAAGGACATATTTTTCTAAAAAACACAAAGCTGTCAATAGTTAAGTCGACTACATTATTTTCGAAAGTCTCAATGTTCGAAGAAGGCGCATTATTTCATGATCAGTAGACGTCTATTTCATTGTTAATTACAACACCATGTGTATGCAGGATTTTGATTGTTACGAGAAACTTTTTGAAATTGTATTTTCCGGTCGGCTGCTTGCGGGATCACAAAAACCTCTTTTAAAGAACCACCTTGCTGCCGTGGCTTCGGAGACCAGATATTTTGATATTTTTTCGGCCGACTTAAGTATGGTTTAAATTTCAAAACATATTTACTGCGCAATATACATAACCAACGCATTCGCAGCGGTATTCCATATGCAATATTGAAATTTAGATGTTTATCGAGCAAAAGAATTCTTTATGCTCGGGTTTGAAAGGTTGAGGATACCGTTCTGAATAAGAATAAGTTTGCGTAGTTTCCCAAAGCCTTGTAGTTTATATGATATTGCCGACTTATTAACATTTTATTCCAAAGGCATTGCTAAAAATTGAGAAATATTTGTTTACCAGAGAATACGGAAAACATTATTAATGCAGTTAGGTCAGCACCTCAGTAATTAGTAATAAAATGTTTACTGTTATCATCTTGTATTATTTATTATTATATTATTATTATTCTTAAAATTATTAACAGCTTGACAAACTTTTTAGTATTTAGGATAGACAGTACTCCGAGAAAATACTTGTTTAAGTACCTCAAATAAATGACAAAACAATTTTTCGAAATATTATCTTATATGGCCAATAAGTAAAAAAATAAGAACGGTCGAATTGGATTATATAAGAATATAAAAGAAAATAGGAACTGTAGAAAAATGGCAACAAAGAGGAGTACTCAATAACAAGGAAACTAGAAAATAGAGCACTGCATTGGTACGGCTGGAATGCAAGAGAGCCGTGAAAAATAAGGGGAAAGACGAAGATATTCCAAATGGTTTCTAAAGTTTATCAGTTTTCAATTAAATTTCAATATAAAACATTTCGCTTTATCTGTCGATGGTTTTTCTTTTGGATCTCATTGGTATTGTGTATTGAGCACAATGACCCTTTGTTTAGATTTGGCATGGGGGCTGAACACGAATCTTTTTTAATTGTTTTTCAACCTCATTGTTTTGCTCAACTCTGCATTTATCAAATTATCTAAAATATTTCAGATATGATCATTTTAATTAGATTCAAACGTGAAAGCAGGAATTCTGTGTCTGTGACATCATAGACATATTTTTTGAATTAAGTTTTCTTCGGTCCTTAGCGAATAGAACAACAAACTAAGAAAAAGTGTAAATGAAACTATTTTTTATGAGATACAGCCAAATAGAAATTATATTCGGACCATGGTACGAAAAATATTAATATTCTCGTGAAGGATGTGTTATTGTTCGCTTATAATATGCATCTCGCCTAATATGGGCGAGGCATCTCGTCGCAGAGAGTGAAAGATGGAGAAATTTTCGCCCGACCAAGGTCAATTAATGACCTTCCCTACGAAAAAGAAAGTGATCTTCGTACGATTTTTTTTTGTTTTTGCATCCTGTTTGTATCAACGTTCGAATTATTTGTTATCTCATTCCGTTTATGACTTTCATAAATTTTCAGCATGGATTTGTTGTATATAACCGAAGCGTTTTTAACTAAAAATGTAGGCTTGAGAAACAACTTTTTTATTTTTAGATTAATTTTCATAAGTTTGTAAGAAAACTTTAGACAAAATGACCAATTTTAATGCACGTATTTGGTCGCTTATAGAGTACTCATTTTCTGGTCCCTAGAGGGTACTTTCTAACCAAAGTTCGCTCTATTCGATAAGAACCATTCATTTTGCACAGTTTAACTTCAACTTAACTAACCCAAAGAAACATTTTTTGGGCAGCAAGCTTAACCCAATATTTCGTATTGCCACCTCTGGCTCCCAATTTATTCTGACCATTACTGACCCTCCGTCCATCTGGAGACTGTAAGCAGAGTCTATTAAAAGTGGATATTTCTTAACTAATATTGACATTAAAAAAAATTGGTAATGTAATTATTGCACAGGATATTTTAAAAGTAAGTTTAGGAAGCAACCATTCAATTAACCCTGTATAATTTGTCATTTTTTCTAAAGTTTCCTAAAGATTTATGAAAATTAGATTAAAAATAAAATTAAAAATTAAAAATAACATATAAAATAAAATAAAAATTGCAGCTCAGTATGATGCTATGTATATTGAATGAAAAACAATTAAAAATAATTATTAATCTATATTGGAACCAGTTCTAAGAATTGATAAATCATCAGGTAAACATACAGACAGGAGTGAGACAGGGATGCATTCTGTCAGCGATGCTGGTTAATATGGACATAGTTTGAGAAGCTTAGTAGCTACATTTTGTATCGGTTTTGGATTGGAAATGAACTTAAAGAAAAATAAATTACTGAGAGTAAGTAGAGAGAATATTCGTGAGGCAACGAATGACACGAGTGAAGAACAATTATTTGGAAAAAAGGCGAGATAGGCGTTTGTCTAAATCCCAAAATTTATCTTTGGAAATAAAAATCAGAGAGAAACTACTAGAATATTGGAAGTATATACTTTCGCTATATAGAGGAATAGGGCAAGGCAAAGAAGTGCTACGAGGAATGAGTAAAGAGCCAGAATTGATATACCCCACAAAATGTCGAAAATTCCAGTCATATAGTAAGGAACTCAGAACGGTAGCGACTACTACAAGAAATCCTCCAGGCAAAATCAACAGCAAGAGAAGACCCGACCAAATGTTGGCAAATTTAAGAACGTTGCTCAGCTAGACATCAGCAGAACTCTTTCGAATCGTAACCAATAAAATAAGAATAGTCATGTTGATGATATCCAACATCCGAAAATTATTTAATGTTGATCATTAATTGCAATTGAACAAAGTTCAAAACCACCAGTATCTACGTGGATAATATTTATTGCTATGCTAGTCGTAACATTCGTGTCATTAAAAATAACGGTAATTTAAGTGTCTGTGTTATATAGGCAATTAAATAACTGTCTACTCACTGGATTATTCGGTCAATGATGATAGCCCATTCTGGATGTGGATTTGCCCAAGATTATTTAAGCAGACAGTGTAATAGAGAAAAACTTGAAACTGGTGGCAAATGTTTACTTAAGCGAATTTAATTAAATCTAGACATTTATAAAAAAAACAGATAAAAAAACGTCAAGGAAAGTTAATTCTTTTTAAATTCCCTATGCCTAAAACAATGAAAGATCAAAAATTGTGAAAACATTGGGTAATAATATTAAGGACTGTAATTATTGTCAAAGTGCCTTTTTAAAAATTTTATTCGTCGTAATAGTTGTGCCAGCAGACAAAAATCTCTTTCTATTCATAATTTTTTATTTGTTACAGACTTTTTTGTGTAACGGTCACAAACTCTATCGCTTTTCCGACCCAGGATTCCAAAATCGTTAGCCAATCCAAACTTGGACAAGAATTCGTCTACGTCCAATCGTCTGGTTCAGGCGCGAGGCCCATAGCTAGGAAAGACAAGGTGGAAACCGAGAGAAATTTCGAAACCGCACACAAGTTGCCGCCATCATTGACATTTAGCATAAGCCAAGACGATGAAGAGCCTATTGAGGAGAAAAAGCCGCTGAAAGGCGGCAAAAAGGTCCATAAAAGGGAAGCGCGCCCTCAACAGGGTCCCGCCCCTGCGCCCCCCGGTTGGTATTACCGCAACCGCACTACGTTTTCTCTTTTTCATATATTTTCCTTGGAACTTTTTCCTTACTTTGAATTTAGTCCTGTACCGTGCGTTCAATTTATCTTTACATTTTAATTGGCTGTAACTTTTTGTTTTTCGAAATATCATGGTAAGCAAAAAAACAAACTGTAGAGTTAGTAGCCAAGTGTGACGTATAAAACAAAACACTATCAATTTTCTGACATATAAGCCTACATCATATATTTTTTAATGGAACACACATTTGCAGAAAACGGCGTATTAACGTTCTAAAAAGGTATGTCTGTCTTAAATGAAGAAAATAAGGCAAACATATAATGCAATTAAATTAAATTCAAAAACTAAGTGTAGAACAATGTGAAAGGTGGATGCAGTTTCGTTTGCATTTTTTAAATAGACATAATGGGAATAACAATTTTTTAAAAAAAAAAATATGGACTGATGAAAGTTCGTTCGCTACAAGAAAGAGTTGCAGAAGACAAAATGCACGATATTTTTCTTTAAATAATCCTAGACAAATGCACGAACCAATCATTTAATGTATGATGTGGTGTTATAGATATTTTGAGTCTGATATTTATAGATCAAAAGTTAACTGGAGATCATTATACTCTTAGAGCACAGCATCTAACAATATATAGAAGATTTATCCCTAAATATCAGCGCTGATGATATGACAGCAAGACAGTGGCCGTCCTCAAAATCTTGTGCAAGTTAGAAATTTTTGGGGTCGGATAGGGAACGTGCACAAAACTCCTTATAATCGTGAAACTTCGGCAAAGCATTTCAAAGGCAATCAATCAGTTAAGAGACATGTTAATAAATGCAAAGACATCATACAATTAGAGTGTATGAGCAATGTGTTCAGGAAAATGGTGGTCACATGGTCAATGGTGGTATTTAGATTAGTTAAAGAATTTTTTAGTTTAGTGTGTCTTGTCATTTTTAGTCACAGTCAGTCACGAGTGGATACAATACAAAATGTGTTACATCATTGTAATCGGAATAAAACATTCTTTTAACTACATATAATATATAGGGTGTTCCATTTAAAAAAATCTGAGGTAGGATTATATGTGAGAAAATTGATAGTGTTTTGTTTTATACGCCACCTAGAAAAAAACTTGGCTACTAACCCTACATTTTGATTTTTGGTTTACCTTGATATCTCTAAAACCAAAAAAGTTATAGCCAATTAAAATGTTAATCAAGATAAATTGAACGCACGGTACATAACAGCTGGATTTTACGAACTTTATATGGAAGTTCTCGCAGATTGCTATTGAAATGTGTAGCTGGCTATTTGTGGTCCTTAATCACTAAAACTTACTTACGTTCTAGTAATGAAAATCATCATAGATTGAGTCGATGAACATAATTTTCATTAGTTAATGAACATAATTCTTAAAGAAGATTTTCATCAATTTAATGAAACTGATTTTCTGTTTCAACGATTTCAAATTCATCAATTCAGGGAATCGTTATTCTATCTATCTATAGTATTCCAACTATAAATACACTGACTTTCATTCAGACAATGAAGGCGGTTAATTCCCATCATCCACTTATTTCATTGTCTCGATGTAGAAAAATTCCCAAGTCTAATTTTTCTATTTAGTTCAATCGCCGAAGCTCTAAAGCTTTTGTTGGGTTATCGATAGTAGCGATTCGTTAGAAGTTTTTGGAAAAATTTCGAATTTGAAATTCTGGGACAAAGGGTTATTCAAGATTTCCTTCCATTTAAAAATATTTTTGATTTTGCATCAAAAGTCGCCATTGACATTCTTATTTCAAACGGAACACCCTTTATATTTTTTTTGTCTTACTGAGGAAGTGTTAATGATGAATTTTGTTAGATTTCCTACCTATTTTTAACTCTCCCAAAACAACAAAATCTGGAATAATAACATACTCGTTGAAAATAGATATACGGAAATCGACGTAGAACTGAATTCTGCACCCTAATTTACAAAAATAATTCTTTGACTTTGACAAAAATAACCTAATCGGTTATCAAAAGTAATATTATTCTTCCCCTGTTTTAGTTTATTGCAGAAACACTTATCGCCAGTCAATTATTACTTGTTTACATTCCTCTACGGAACACAGACACTGTTCCATGAAAAATGAATTTATTTTGTCTTTCATCAATTCTGCAATATAGTCTTTCTTAACTTAACTTGCTTTCTTAACTCCCCTACTGAAACATTTATATTCGTTGAAAACATTAACGAGTGAGTTTTATCCTCGTTTAAATTTAGACGATTTAGGCATTTTCTTTTGCCGACTGTGTTTCCCAAAAGGTGAAATTCAACACAAAATTTTCTCCGAAATCCAAAAATAAAATAATACACAGGGTGCAACAGGAAATGTGCGCGCCCTTCAAAATATTTTGAAATGAAAGGAAATCTTGAATAACCCTAAGACCCAGTTTTTCCTAACCCCAAAAAATTCCAACGAACAGGTAAGGTGTAGGAGGTGTACGGAGGTAAATAAACTCAAAATTAACCTTACTCATTACTATTTCTTCGGCTTAGAACCTTTTGAGGTCTTTTCAATCGCCTCTAAGACCTATATTTAATTATTTTTCTACATTAATAGAAAGAATATTAGTTCTCATTTGATTAAATTTCCTTGTATTGATTTTCTTAGACAACATCATCATTAAATTAAAGAATTTCTATGTGCGGTTTTTGCAACACGAACAACTTATTTTCAGTGTTTCTATACTTACTTCTCTTGTCGCACCCTAATCGTGTTGGGGAAGGTGGTGGAAATAACTGATCATTCCTTTCAGGTTATAGAAAGTGTGGATAGGAAGGCGTTTATGAAATCACACAGTCCCTAAGTGAAACGATAACACTCAGTTCAAACACCTACTAACTTTCCAGCGCGTCTATAATCTTGAAGGAACTACCATTTTTCAGGTGCGATTAAATTGAACGTTGCGAAACTTCTAGAGAAATACAAGGAGGATATCAAAACGTCCACCACCGAGAGGACGTCGTCGACGACTACCACCAAATCGAGTCGAAGGAGGGGCACGAACAAAAGGGCCAAGAAAGAAACGAAACCCGAGGATGGTGGTCCCGCAACTAGTCCCACGCCTGTGCTAACTACCCCAAAAATTGCCCCAAAGAAAATCGACGTGGACGATATCCCGCTAGTTGCTGCCGGCAGCGAGAAGCAAAGGTCGAGGATACAGATTAAGAAAGGTCCCAACGGTCAGGAGTACGAATACGAATACGTTTACTATTACTACGATGAAGACGAAGATCCAAAAGACAAAAAGGTAACAACTATATTAAAACTTTGTGGAGATTTACAAAGAAGGCACGTCTCATCCTCAATAGTTACCAAATCAATAGTATTATTCTAAAGCGACCTGGATTTGTTACATGTTTGGGTATTTTAATTAATGGAAAATTAAGCTTCAACCACCATGGAAATGGCCCCATAAAATCTTGGGTTAAAAGTGAGAAGAAAATTCCTCATATTTATAATTTTCCTTCAGGTGCATTCTGGCGACAATTTTAGCAAAGTCTTCTCTATTCCTTGCTCCAACGTGAGTCATCCTGACCACTTTCTTAAATTTTTAAACTTTAAATTGATATTTTCTCCCCAGCATGACTGAACATATTAGGAATTATGCATAATTATTGGAAACCATTTGCGATTTTGCATAGTCACCTAATCATTAATATTGATAACTAAAAATTTTACGGGAATTATACGCTCTTAGAGGTAGAAAACACAAGAATTTGCTTTTGTTCTACCAAATCGACTAAAATCATTAATCAGTAATCACCGACACATATCTTTAGCAGGTATATCCAAACCAAATGTAACTGAAACTAACCAAAGTTAACCAACACTGACTAAAAAAATTGTCAATATATAATCTCCCTACGAAGGCACCCTCCGTAAAAACTAGCGGGCCAGACGCTTCTAAACACCCATGCTAGAGAGAATTTGAAATTTTTGAAATGTTTCAGGTTGGAGGCTTAAGGTATTACGGTAATGCCTGTAAAATTTTTAGACGTATTATAATTTCTAATGTTCTCAGTTAATACGCAAATTCACTAACAGTTCTAGCAATTACTCGTAATTTTTAAAATACTTAGTTGTTATGCATACTAACGGTTTACAATGTGTACCAAATTCGCTTCTCTACGCAGGGATCGCTAATCCGATTATACTTACAGCAAAGTTTAAACGGGAAAAGTTTTGGAGGAAACTACCGTCTTTTGTTATCTCGTAACTGGCTTTAACTATTTCGATTTATGGGAAGAGCGTAAAATTTCCAGTTCCAGTGAAGTCTCAACGGTATTTGAGCCACAAGTTTATTTGGCACGAGCGGAGCGCGTGTATAATAAACGGGTGTCTAATTATTCACTGACATGACAGACGTCAAAATTCAAGCCGTGCGGTAAAATCTCCGAAAACATCCGAAAAAAATTTTTGTTAAGTTTGTTAAGTGCCACTTTACCACTTTAGTTTCGTTCCCCATGGATCCGAGCCACTTCGGACATTTCCGGGATTTTACCGCACGAGTTTGAGAGCAATCGGATGTTTTCGGAGATATTTCCCGCGCCATGAATTTTGACGTTTGTTAGTCAAAGACAAAGTTAGTCATGTTAGTGAATGTATTCGTGTTTTGGGAAAATATATCCAAAAACTAACGGTCGTAGAAAAAGTATAGTATGCAACGCGTTCGGTAAACTTTTTAACTCACTCGTTGCATAATATACTTTTATCAAACTTCGTAAAGTTGGGTCCTAATTATTTTATAAGAAGGCCACCATTTGTCTGTGTCTGAATAATGACACATTTTGACAGGTGTCAATTTAGCAGTTTCGGTTAGTTTGGTTTGGTTTAGTGTGAAGCCGGTGGTCAAATGCACTAAGTTTCCTCCACTTTCCCGTTTAACCTTTGCTTTAAGTATCTTACAAGCGGATATTCGTGTATAGATAAGAGAATGTGGGACACATTGCATGTCTTAGACAACTAGTTTTGCGCCGTTTCAAATGTAAAAAATCGCTTTTTTTTTCATTCATAACGCCCACGGTCGTCGTATTATTCTCTTTCATTTGATGTGCTCAAATTGTAACTATCTGCTCTGACATTTGAAATCATGGAAGCGTGCTGGTTTAAAATACGTCAAAGATGGACACATTTCACTTTTGTATTTTGTTACTATTAATGTTGAAAAGATCTCCACTAACAAAGAAAATACCTAAGGAGACTTTGCTTCAGTGTATACAGACAAATGAACATAAAAGTAAAACTCATTGAGAAAAGCTTAGTTCTAAAAAGTTAAACAAATAGTCAATACAACTCACGTATTTCACAAAGGATGTTCCGGAACAGGGCACTTTCTTCATACTTCAGACTGGCTTAATTTATTTGGTTTAATTAAATTCGAAAAGTCCATGTCCATCTCTCAATTTTGTAATATTAGCGTATCTTTTTTCTTGGTTTTATACGTTTGACATTGCAAAAAAAAATGGAAAAAAGAGATGTTCAGCTAATAATGACCGAAACAAACTCTAGTATTCTCCGCATGTAGCGCATTTCAGTCCCCTTCATCATTGAGTTGTTTTATTGCAACAACACCTGAACTACTGCTACAGTTGGCAAAGTTGATTGTAGTATAGAGATTTCTCGATATTTCAGATTTTTGATACTCGTAAGAACGCATCATTAAAAATTAAAAACACCTTTTTTAACTTTTAAAAGGACTCTAATATGTACTTATTAAGAGGACTGGAAAGGGAGCGGTGTGATAAGAAAAAATCCAATTAAAACTTAGGTGCGCAGTTGGTCGAGATTTCGCTTCGAACATGTTCCTAAATCCAGTTTAGCATCTTGTTAGCGAAATTACGTAACCTGTTTATAACAACGGTTATTCGCCCGTAATTAAATATACATCATACTCTCGTCAAGAGACAATCTAATAGTGAAGTGAAAATATGTATTTCGCAATCTTTAATTGGAATATTTGTAATTCATTTAAGGTTACAAACTCTCACGACGGTCCAGCGAGGAATACCATCGCGAGCAGAAACGACAAAAGCCGCGAAAAATCCGAACCGGAAGCTAACGAGATCGTACCGACCAGATCGAAATCGAGAAGCAGACAGCTAGGCGAAGATGAAGTTGATGAAGAAAGGTTGCCGGCAGCCACAAGGTTTGCGCCATTTATATATTTTTATAAAATTTGCCATGGATTAGGTTGGTGGTTAAGTTGATTTGTTTATCTATAGATGATTTGAAGAGGTCATCAACAGATGAACTGTCTAGATGTTACGTATAATGTCTTAGACATTATTTATATACTCCAATTAACAATTTATTTCGAATATAGGGTAACGAAGCAGGTACTTGAATAAAGCTACTCAAGCTTTTTCACCTCGATGGTGGTCGACAACAACAACAATAAATGAGTTACTCAGCGTCAAACTTTAGGGAATCTAAAATTAATTTCGTCGGAAAAACAACAAAGTCACTAATATTTTGCACGCCATACAAGCAACTAAAAGTATATGTAACGTTTCTGTTCAAATCCGCCAATTATTTATATTAGCGCTTTCCGGATTATTTTCTCGACTGACTCATTACCGAGCGCGTCCCAGAGAAGCGGCGTCTGTGATTTCTATGACTTGCGAAAATATTTTTACAACTTGTAATTAAAATTATAGCAAAACTAAATGGAACTAACCAAAACTAATCATAAATAACTAAAACTAAACAGAACTAACCAAAACTGACTAGAAATAACCAAATATATTACTATTGTAACGTGAATTCTCTCTAATTCGCTAATTCACATTGAATTTCAACATATTAAGCAATATATCACGGCATGGTGTATATTTTATACAACTGGTAATTATAATTATAGCAGAACTAACCAAAACTAATTATAAATACCTAAAACTAAACAGAACTAACCAAAACTAACCAGAACTAACCAATACAAACCAGATCTAACCAAAACTGACCAGAACTAACCAAATCAATTACTATCATAACGTGAATTCTCTCTAATTCGCTAATTGTCATTGTATTTCAACATATTAAGCAATATACTGCATCCTCGAATTAGAAAGTTTTCTGCGTTTGCAAATACGTATGGATTTTCCATTTTCTGAATTAAATTTACTGAAATTAAAAAAAAATGTTAAATAAAGTTAGCATCTATATAAAATACGCTATTTTAAAACCGCATTTCAGGAAAGAGTTGAGTCAATTTCAGTGTTAAAATAATTAATAAATAGATGAACTGATAAACAAATCCATAACTATTCAAAGCAGACATAAAAAATATAATTGTTGAATATTATTCCCATTTTTTTAATCTTTCTTTTCCGATTAAGTACAGTGATTTACTTTACAGTTAAGAAAAATGTAAATAGACAAAAATAATAGTTTATAAGTATAATGTGTATATTTCCTTATATTCACCACACTACAATTATTATCCTTGATATACGAGGTGTGTTCAAAAAGTAAGGTGACTTCTAATTGGGAGGGCTAGGCTATATCTTCAATATTTTTTTGTTACGTCGGTACACATGTCTCTAACATATGTTCGCAGTTTCAGACAGTTTGCACGTTCACTATTTTTGTGAGACAGAAACGTTAGACGTGTTTTGTGTGCTCGGCGGTTTTCTTCTGTCAAAAAGAATGGAACAAAGAATTTGCATAAAATTTTGTGTAAAAAATGGAACACAGTGCTGCAACACACTTGAAATGTTGAAAACCTGTAATGGTGAATCTACTTTGACTAAAATGACGAGCTTCGCTCTGGACGCCGCAGCACGTCAATAACGTTGAAGAGAAGTTGCTGCAAAGTATCGTCTAAGGTGTATCGCTCAAGAGCTGTCAATGCTGATATGCTCAAAAAGTCATAATTGGTGACGAATCATAGGTACATGGTTATGACGTCGAAACCAAAGCCCAGTCTTGCCAATGGAAGGACTCAGAATCATCAAGACTGGAAAAAGCATGTCAAGTTCTATCAAATGTTTTTGGTACTTATTTTCTTTAATTAGTTTTGGTTAGTTCTTATCACATCGATTTGTCGTACGATCAATAAAGTTTAAGTTATGCGCCATTTGCGAAAACCAATATGAAGAAAACTCAGAAATTGTGAGAAAACAATTCACGCATTTTGCATCACGATAATGCACCTGCTCACTCATCGTTGCTTGTGTCTAACATTTTGGTCAAAGAAAAACGACAATCATGCGTGATATGGCCCCTCGTGACTTTTTCCTAAATGGAAGGAGGTTCGGAACGATTGAGAAGATAAAGAAAAAATTGCTGGAGAACCCAAGGCTATGATAGAAAGTGCTTCCAGGATTGGAAAAAACGTTGCTACAAAAAATAAATACTTTTTGATAAAACTTAAAAGTCCCCTACTTTTTGAACACACCTCGTATATAAACTTAAAAAAACTATAACTATATAACTGTAAATTTGTAGATGATAATTTCCAGTTATACCAGCAGTATTTTCAGGGAATAATTTTGAATCATAAAAATTAAAGATGCCCCCAATAAAGTTCGCTATTTCTCAAAATTAGCTATGATTTAACCAAACCAATTTGTTTATTATTTAAAGAAGCTTTAATTAATGGAAAGTGCCTAAAACTAAGACAAAATTCTCAGGTAAATGCTCCATATTGTCCACCATTTATCGATTTATTAACGAACTATATTGGAAAAAAAAATTATGACATATGGTATGCGATTTTTCCACTCACTACTCAAATAATATTTGATGTTGAAATGCGAATTTGTGGTTGGTTCAAATCGATAGGAATCTAAAATTTAGTACTGTGTATACCGGGCTTACAAGCGATGTTCATGCACGTCAAAAAGGGCAAAATGTTAAATGTTACAGATTCCCTCCAAGAAGTCGCAACTTGAACAGCACACCAAATCCGGACGACGTTCCAGCGGCGAAAACCAGAACTCGGGGAAAGCCAGCGGACGCGGTAGTCGAGGACAGCGTATCCGACGAGACTCAGGTAAGCGTCACCTCCACACCACAACCATCACCAGCACCGGAGCTTTTTGGTGATCGTTTGCATTGACGTTACCCACTAATAGGGTTCCAGAGGCAGAACGCGGGCGAACGTGCGGCGGCCATCTTTGGAGTTGGTTGACAGCGAAACATTTAACACTCACGCAGGTTCATCACCCGCCACACAAAGTAGCCCATCATTCCCTACTGATTTGCCCGCTGGACCGGTACGTTTTTTGGGAGCCACACCCAACGAGTTCTACGACCTCCCAGTAAATAAACAATATCAGTCGCAGAGTTTAAAACGCACTAAAACGACATTAACTATATACGCACCGATGAATCGGCTTCTGCTTCGATAGTACGGCCTATTGTTTTGCTTTTGTACCAGGCACCAGGAGCCGATCCGCTCTATATGGGTCTTTCCTTAATGTCTTCTACACCTTCAGGGTGATCCACACTCGATGATCTATAGAAGTTTACTGAGAATAGATAAAGGTCTATAACCTTCAAACATTGGGTTGCTGCCATAGAAGACTTTGTAACATTTTCTGGATTTCTCCTGCGTCAACAACCAATGCAGGAGGAATCTAAAAGATTTGTATATAATAATAATAATAATAATACAATTAATAATAATAATAATAATAATAACATCAGTTTATTATGGATTTAGTGAAGTAGGTCAAAATTAGGTACACAATATATCACGTAAATGAGGCAGAAAATTACATTAAAAATTTATATAATAAAAATATATGACAGAGCACAATACAGTGATGACAAGCATTAAAAAAATTTAGTTTTGATTTAAAAATATAGCTCTATATGCTCTTTAGCTTTGGGGAGAGTTTCTTGTAGACCCTAATACCGGTGATCGTAAAATATTTTTTTTACAATTCTAGTCCTTTTTTTTATAGAGAAACAGTCTTCATTACATGTATTATAGTGGTGGGTGTTTTTGTAAGTGAAAGAAATTTGAATTGTTAAAATATATGGTTAAACTACTGAAAACGCATTCTAGCGTTTTGTTTTGAACATCAAAACGATTTCAAAATAGGTACGGTATGTATTAATACTAAATGAAGTCCTTTTTATTACCGTAATAAAGTTCAGAGTTTTACCTATGATTGATAAACTCAAAACGAAAACATATTTTGCTTAACCAATGATATTTCCTTTCAATTTAAATGTTATTTTAACAACGATCTCATGGAAGTTTCAAATTTTAAAAAGTTATCAATATGCCAATAAAAAACGTTACAAATCAAAGAGCAGTACAAAAATTTTTATTGTTTTCCATTAAGTACTGTCACCTAGTTGTTGATTGAAAAGGATACGTATGACCTTTAAAAGCTGCCAAATAATTTTATTTTGGACCTGCTTCACATCCAAAAAGCTTTATTACATAACATTTTTATTTTCATTTAGTTGTTTACTGGAGAGGACCTTTAAAAGCTATTAAATGACGTATTGTAGCTGTCAGCTATCATTTGTTAATATGGGATAGATAACCATTATCAAATGTCATTTCTTAAAGTCGTTTTTATTAAATTGTTTAGTTTAAACCGAAACTATTAAGTTTTTACTTGCATATTAATCAAATGTTTAACAAATTTAATAATAATACTTGGTTCGCGGAAATGACTGAATAACATTTAAAATTCATGTTAGTAAAAAACCATACATATATGGCGGATAGCTCTTACGGCCGGTACTGTTTTTAACTCACATGTTACTTACCGGTAATAATTAATTTAACCGTTGGGTGGTCAGTTGTGCGTAAAAACGCGGCTTGTGATATTGATTCCCTCTATTCGTACGGAATTACGGAATTAAACTGGCTGAAGGTGTACTAACACTTGATCTAATTGTTTACCGAGTTTTTTCGCCAAAACATCTTTATTTTCTTAACTACATTGTCAAAATTGTGCTTCGTTAATTTCAGATGTTATTTTTGCCCGCTTGTTTCTTCGATCATTTGTTATCGATATTATATTAAAATTTTATTTCATTTTTGAATCCTGCTAATTTCACATTATAAATAAACTTGCTGAAGTTTTAAATTATTAGCAAAAAGACGATACTTACTGGTATTTTTTTTTGTTTTTTACACGTATACCTATTTTTGGTAGTTGATGGTAATACTAATATTAATAAAAAGCGGTGATGTTTTATAGTCGGTACGATTTGGCATGCTGGACAGTATAAAACAGATTGACTGAATTTTAAATATGTGTAATAATTTTTTCCAATGAACTTCTGCCATACTTTTTCCGAATCTTCTGGATTACTCTTTGTTGATGAATCGATAATCGTCCTGTTGGCTTGTTTAGGCAGGTGAGACGAGATTTAATCCCCTCCTTTAGCGCCGCCCCCTCACACAGTATGTAAGCCGGTACAGAGTAGAATGCGGCCCAGTTTCAGTTTAGCTCTGAAGAAGCCAACAGGAAGATTGGTGAAACAAGTTCGGTTTATCAACAAGCGACACAGGAGGAATCCCGTCGATTTGTAATTGTAATAAGTGCAAAAAGAAATCCAGGACGAAAAAATTTAGCTATTCTACGGCATCTTTTTTTGACTGTCAATAGCAATTTTTCGGAAATTTACTCCTGTTTAACCAATATTGCAAAGTTTAAATTTTGAGTGACATGATCCGCTATATTCCAAGATATACTTTATACTGAAGTGAAGTAATATCACTAAAACATTTCGCTTACCACGCTTCTAATTCATTATTTTTTGAAATACACTTTGCCTTAATTGAGAGCGTTCGCGAAAAATGAAGAAAACCTAGCGGCTGCACACTGCAATCAAGGCCAAGTGTCAAGCGCGTATTTCAAACTCGCTAAACACGAATCTGTCCGTGAAATATTAGGAGGAGGCCAAAAAGAAAAGCAAAGAACCGGTTTTCGATGACACCATAAAATCATCGGCCGACGGTCCCGAAACTACACCCGCTACCGGCATGGAAAAAGTGGCCTTGGATCTGTACGCCATCTCCCAAGGCACTCAGAAGCTTTTCGGCGATACGAACGAGGAATTGAGCACCGAAGACGGGAAACTTGATACAGACGGTATAAGTCGAGGACACATGAAAGCGTCGCTGTTAATTTCCCAGCTTATATAGTTACAGCTACCACAGCGGAATCATCTTCGACGGACTTGTCCGAAGTAGAGTCTACCACTACCACAACTACAACTACCACAACCACCACGACAACAACGCCAGCCCCTACAACTACCACTAAAACCACCACTACCACCACAACGACCACCGAAGCGCCTACGAAAGGTACACTCTTGGGTGGTGGCCGATTTATTAAAAAAAAAAGATCGAATTTGTAATTGTAGCCAGCCGATTTGGAGGTCGGCAAAGAATTGGAGGCCGCAAAACCACTACTTCCACCACCGAAGCTGCACCGGCTTCTGATTCCAAGCCCAAGAAGTTCGGAGGACGTCCGAGCTTCGGCGGCAGATCTAGGAGCAAAACGACTGCCTCTCCGGCCGTCGAAGAAGACGTTCACAAGGAAGAATCTAAGGCCGTAAGCCAATCTAAGGTATGCCGACTTTAGCTTGCACTAGTTGGAAATTGACTGTTTTCGTTCAGCCATCTTCTGGAAGACGTTTCGGTGCTTCGAGACCCCGTGGTCGTACCACCACGGCCCCAGAGGAGCGCAAGGAGGAAACCAGCACCTCGGCCTCCACGAGCGGAAGCAGACCTTCACTGCCTAGAACAAGGCCGGCGTTTAATAGCCTGAGAGGCAGAGGACGTAGTACCACCGCAGCGCCATCTACCGCGGAAGGTAGCATTCCCTTATCGAATTCCGTATTCATTGATTTAGTCATTATAAATCCTTAGGTGAAGAAAGCAGCCCTCCGGAAGACTCATCGGCGTCATCGTCGGAAATTTCCAGCACCACAGCGAGGTCGAGAAGGGTCCTGCCTGGCAATAATAGCAACGTGAAACCGCTTAGACCGGGACCAAGGATTAATTTGGCCGGGAGAAGGGGTGGTAGTACAACCACAACTACCACAACCACCGAAACACCATCAGAAGATGACAACGTGGCCGGAGATGAAGAAGAAACTCACGCCGAAGCTGCAAGCGAAAAGGTTTTTTTATTATACAATCCTTTTTAAATAATTTTCTCGGGTCCGCAGGTCTTCTTAACAATTTTTCTGTTGAGTATAATTGTAACAGGCTTATTGGAATAAAAAAAACATCTAACTAAACATATCTCGACAAAGTAACAGAAACTTGAATTTTGGCATTGAATTGCAACTAAAATACCTCCTAAGTACAATTTCTTTTGTGTGCCTTTAGTATATATAACACTATAGCGGCTAATCTAAATTAAGTGTTCATCATTGGCAACGTTGTTATGAGTAGAGATACAAAGTCCGTTAATTTAACTGATTACGATGGTGACAAGAGAAAAATAATATATAGGGGTTTAGGACGAAACGAGGAAACTTTAGTATTCTTAAATGAAACACCCTGTATTTTTTTTACTCTAACGTTCGTAAATCACCAACAGAACAAAGAGCAGTATTTGCCTAAAATTGAAAATAACCGTACATTTCTCTTTTAGATTAGATGGCTATAAAAGTGTTCAAAACCAGCACCTCTATTGTGCGAATTGCCTTTAGCATTGTTCAATCATCTATCTGATTTACTTTTTCTCTTATTGCAGCCTTTAAAATATCAACGTGTTGGCTCGGTCCTTATAAATTTCGTCCTTTAAATAACCCCACAAGTAGAAATTAAGTAGAAATTATCTGGTGACCTAAGAGGCCAAAAAATAAGCCTATTTGTCGCAACCCGTTTATTGTTGAAAATGGTTCTCAAAAATTGATATGGGTATGGTGCACCATCTTGCTGGAAATGGAGATTCTGCCAACTTATGAGGTTAAGCTCATCTAAAAAAAAATCGAGATAATTGCAATGTACTGCTCACCGGTCAGCTTGTCGCCGTAAAAATATGAACCAACAATGCGAGAACCAATTATACCGCACCAAACGTTAAACCTTTCACTTGTTTATCTGTTTTAACCATCGTATTCAGTGAAAAAAATGCTACTAGTTTGCTAACTGGAAGCACTTTGTATCTACTCTATCTACTCATAACAAAGTAACCAATGATGAACACTTAGTTTTGGTTAGTTAGTGTTTATGGTTTCTTCTCTGATATTATTAGAAATATTTTTTTACATTTGTATGAAAAATCGTGCCTTTAATATATATAACACTATAAAACTATATATTTTTAATTGTTGAAATTGAAATATAAATAAATAAATTCAAAATTAACACAAAGTGAATAAAAAAAAACGGTTTAAAATTTTTCCAAAAACAATAGAATATTATTCGTAGGATTTAGCATATAGCAACAAATTTGTGCGTAATTTTCTTTTCAGTTTTCAAAATTTGGTTTGCCTTTCGGCTTTCCTCTCCTTCTTTCTCTTTCGCTGTTTTTCCGAAATATTGCAAGTTTTTTGCGTTGACTATATGCAATTGCACTATAAGTTTAAAATTTTAATGCATGGAAAATTCCGAAATGTGAGAACTGAAGACCCACCTAATGAGACATGCTTGTAGTCTTTTATATATTATTATGGTAAAAGTGTGGTTTTAAACTTATTTAAAAAAAGAATTATTATTTAATTTTCAATAAATAAAATTTTGTAAAATCGGTTTCATATAAAATATATAAAATTTCCCGCTAAATTTTAATGACCCACCACTCGATCGAGAATTAAAAAAATGAAAAAAAAAAACTATATTTGGCCACTACTTATTAATTAAATAAGAAAAATTGAATGACATGCAATAGTTAAATACAGCCAACAATTAGCCCACTTCTAAACGCAAAGGACGATCAAGATTAAAAGAAATTTTAACTAAATTTTGAAGCCTAATTTTGAAGATGTCGGGTTGTTGGTGAACTAGTTCATATGTAAACTTAAAATAAACTAAAATAATATAAGGTTGTTCGGAAAGTCATTTCGTTTTTTCCCGTCAGACGACTTAATTACGTTTTTTCGAAACCAACTTCACACTTAAGCCGCATAACCATTATATGTCTTGAGAGCTGATATTGCAAGGCTTGTGTGTGAAAAAGTTCTATTAATTCTACGCAGTAGTTTTTGGTTGGTGGCCTTTTAAATATGGAGAGCAATAAGCAGCATTTTCGTCATATTTTACTTTTTTACTTCAGAAAAAGTAAAAATGCTGTCCAAGCGAGAAAAAAATTGACGGTTGTGTATGGAGAAGGCGTGTTAACAGTACGCCAGTGCCAGAACTGGTTTGCAAAATTTCGATCCGGCAATTTTGATGTCGAAGATGCACCACGGTCTGGAAGGCCGGTCGAAGCTGACAAAGATGCGATAAAGGCATTAGTTGATGCAAATCGGCGAATAACCACACGAGAGATCGGTGAGAGATTAAATTTGTCGAATTCGACTGTTTATGAAAGGCATGGGCTTAACCTCGAAGCTCGATGTGTGGGTGCCCCATGTCCTTACGGAGCGAAATTTGTGTCGTCGCGTTGACGTGTGTGATTCGCTCCTCAAACGTCAAGAAAATGATCCATTTTTGAAGCGGATTATTACTGGGGACGAAAAATGGGTTGTATACAACAATGTTAAACGCAAGAGGTCATGGAGCCGAAAAGATGAACCGGCTCAAAGCGTGTCAAAAGCCAACATTCACCAAAAAAAGGTGATGCTCTCCGTTTGGTGGGATGTCAAAGGAATCGTTTTTTTTGAGTTTTTGCCGGACAATACAACGATTAATTCAGAAGTCTATTGTCATCAACTGGACAAATTGAATGATTCACTTAAAGAGAAGAGGCCCGAATTAATCAACAGGAAGGTTGTAGTGTTCCACCAGGATAATGCGAGACCTCACACAAGTTTGGTCACTCGCCAAAAACTTTTACAGCTTGAATGGGACGTACTGCAACATCCACCATATTCTCCAGATCTGACGCCTTCCGACTACAATTTGTTCCGGTCCCTGCAAAATTTTTTGGATGGCAAAACCTTTACCTCAAATGAAGATGTCAAAAACCACCCGAACCAGTTTTTTGCCAGCAAGGACCAAAACTTTTATGAGAGGGGAATTATGTTACTGCCAGAAAAATGGCAAAAGGTGTTGGACCAGAATGGCCAATATATAATTTAATAAAATATTTATTCATTATACGAAAACTGTCTTTCATGTTCCCCAAAAAAAACGAAATGACTTTCCGAACAACCCAATATATTTGGTTTCGTAAAAAAAAAAAAAATACAAAGGCCCCGGCGAGATTCGAACTCGCGATCTCCTGTTTACTAGACAGGCGCTTTAACCAACTAAGCCACGGCGCCTCAAGTTAATTTGATCGATTCTCTCCTCTGCCCAGTACGTACTTCTTATAAAGTGATAAATATGAAGGCTGACAAATTTTAGGACGAAGCCCCAGCCCCCCCGCCGGTTGATAATAGTCCTCTAGGACGTTTGCGCAATCGCAATAAGATAAACGTTCAAGCAAAACCTAAAGCAGCAGCTAGTACACCCGTTCAAGTGCAAGTACGTCGAGTGAATCCTCTGTTAGGTAGAAGGCGGCCTGGACAGTCTACGGAATCGCCTTCAAGCGAGGCGCCTATCGAAGTATCCTCAACGGAAGGTGGTATGTATGCACATCATATCTTAATTTTAGGTTTTGGTAGTTTGAAGGCCTATAAACCATCTTAATGACTTTCTTCAAGACATCCATGTGTTCTAATTTGGCATCTATAACTGTCTTGTCGTCAAGTATATATTCATGTTTTATTTTAGTTTCTTTCCTTAGCCTAGGTTGTTAATAGATTAATAAAGCGTAGTCAAATTTCATTTGTGTAGGTTGACTCTAGATAAAGGATTTACCTCGAAATTTGTGGACTTTTAAGTTGGTAAGGTTGGTTAAGGTATCCTTAAAGAATTCATAAAGTGTCAATAGACGTTGGGTTTTGTAATGCATATTATATAACCTTTTTAGGCTAATAACAATTAACCTCCTGCATTCTTAATTTACCTTATTTGCAATTTGAAATTGGCAATGGTGGAAAAAAAAGTTATATCTTATATCCTGAAATGTAGAGTATTTCATATTTCTAATACTACATTATGTGGCTTGTGACCGTTTCTCCCTACACTTACTATACACAATTGCCAAACATCTCTCTTCTTGTATGGTGTAATTTATTAATGATCCTTAATTATTTATCCGAATTATAATTATTTCTGTCTGTTGCGATTATTGACGTGAGCAAAAAAGGCGCAATGAAACCCTTTTTGATCGGCAATAGAGGGACTATCCAGAGTATTATTCTAGTGGCACATATAATCTAACAATTACTACTAATAACTGCACATTTTACAACTCACCCTTTAATTTTCTAATGCATCGATTCCAAATATCGCTCAGTTTTCCGTAATTTCTCACTCCACACTTATAACATATTGCACCATAAACATTCTAACAAATGAACAGCGATGGTTTATGAAATATCAAAAAAAGTATCACATAACAGAATGGTAGACAAAATACAAGAATAAGAAATAGTAAAATAGAATGCAGGTTTGTGACGCTTGGCCTAATTACATAGCTCTCGGAACAGTTAGTTCTGGTTAGTTTAAATCTGTCAAACGAATACGATGGTACTATCCTTGGTTGCTTTGAATTTTATAAAAATATACAATTTAATTATTCTCAGTTAATAACAACAGAGCATTAATACGTGTAATTAGGTTTAAAACTGCTGTTGATGTTAGTCAGGAAGTACATTTTATTATTTTATTTTTGGATAGCCAAATAAAATTTTTTGACAGAATCGGGTAGGGATATTCCAATACCATTAAAGTATCGATACCTACTCATTTCCATAGTACTCAAATCTTTTTTCGATACTACTCAAATAAATACTCCTAAAGTATCGATATGAGTTAGCACTTTATTATTTTTGTATTTATTTTAAGGAAACTAACAATGAACTTTGAAGGACAATAATTAAAACAAAATTAAGAAGGAAAAGAATAAAGGTTTGCGTCACGTTAACCACGTACTTTAAACAAAAAACTCCATGATAACATTGGAATAATAAGCCGATGATTACAATAAATACAATTATTCGTAAGCAATCTCTTGTATGTTTGACAGTTTATGTTGGTTGTCAATGGAAAAAAATGGAGGGCGGACGTCTTTCTCGCGTTTGGCTCGGGCTCGGTCGAGTGAAGTCGGACGAGTTCGGCTTGGCTGGCGCGAGACAACGCGTCACCATAGATCAGATAGAGATTATGTTTGTCTGTTGCGCTCGGTTTTTTTTTTATTGGTGAGGCTGATTCGATTTGATACCAAGTACTTTTGTTTCGATATCGCGTAAGTATCGCAAGATTGATTCGATGCTATAAATACTTGGTATCGAGTACCTACTGTTATTTACTAGTATCGGAATATCCCTAGAATCGGGAACCCTTATGAGTATTTTTGCCATTTGTCCGTCGACCATTATAATGTCATTTCTATAACACACTATATATATGTATTATTGATCACAACGCATTCAATCAAATTTTGTCGCAGCTGAAGAGCAGCCTCCGGCAGAGACAGAAGCTGCTTCTAGTTCAACAACAACCACTGAAGAGCCAAGAGGTTTAAGCAAACTTTTAGCTGGAAGGAGGAGGGCTCTGCCTAGGACCCCGGGCACTAAATCGCAGTAACAGGAAAAGGCTGAATTTCGATGTCAAACAAAAGCAGAAAACGGAGAACGCCGCCGCTGCATTTGACAGATGCGTACACCATTACAAAATTGTTACAGAATTTTTTTTTTGAATAAGGACAGAGCTTCCTTGTCCGTTTGGCCACGTACATTACCCTGACGAGTGCTGTGAGAAAATTGTTTGCATAAACTTTAGTGAGTTTCGTAACTTTTAGTTGACTATACCACTTCCTTGTTTCCAGAAAAATGTTTTTTGTTTCATGTAAATACCAATTATTGTTGTTTTCATTAAGATACGCAAGACAAGAGTTTTTCGCTTTCATTTAGTTTTAGAAAAAATAGTTATGGTTTAATTAGCGAAATGTAGCTGATAAGTCTACGCAGGCCTGACTTGTGCCAATATTTTTAATTAAGTACCCACTTGTACTGTAATTTATTTTTGTAATCTATCCCTAATTTCTGTACATATCTAAAGTTTAAAAATAAAGCTATAAATATATCATCAGCGTCTAATTGGGTATTGTATAGGGATGAGACAAAAGGCACATCATTTCTAGAACCTTATATTTATACAATTCTATGTACAACTTTTTTATCTGATATGTTAAAAATTTGACAATTAAGTAAGCGCCAGATAACTAACCAAAGAAATTGTACTGTGATTAAATAACTCAAATTGTATCATAATTATAATAGTATTACTAGAAAGTTTTGTTTGGCATAAGATACTACAAAAACAGGAAATTATAAATATGAGCAAGGGCAAAAACTGGCAATATTTCAACCATAATAGAATAACAGTTTCCCGATAACAAAAACTATCTGATACAATGTTGCAACTAAAATAATAATTTAACTACCAACAGGCTTACCACCCAAATGACTAGATTCGGAAGAAAATCAAATATTGGAGACTGTAATAGCCAACATCAATAAGTAATTGTGGTTTGTAAGTAAAACTCAAGACCCGAGAAAATTATTTTGTTTTTATACAGGAATTATTCTCAAAATCAATCTTGAAAAGGAGCTCCAAAAACTGACAAAATTAGACTTGAGTAATTCAAAAATATTCTACTCCAACCATTGATATTTGACATAAAAATATGTCAACATAATATAGGTACTATGTCATTGGTTTTCAAAATACAAGCAAATTATCATCCACTAACCTTTGCAAATAATACTGTTACAAAAAATTGCATGATTGCATCACCAAAGAAATATCACATTACATGTTTATTTTGAATTGGTTTATACAAAATAATACAAAAATTAATTATAAATAAACGCATGTTTAAATAGCCCTGACTTTCCGCTGAATTAAATTGGCAGATTCTAATCTGTCATCATATTCTTGGGCCTTAATATAGAGTAGAACTCCAGCTATCACAGTTATAGTCCCTAGTCCACTTAATGCCGTTATTGGATTTCCAAACATCAATATGGATAACCATATCAAGAATGCTCTCTTGGCAGTATTGACAACACTAAAACAAAATGTAAATAGATGTCATAAATTTGACCTTGTATACAGTACTAATGGCATATATGCTTACCTATGAGTCACGGGGCTAATGTAATCCATGAGAACATAGGCAGTAATACTTTGGAAATGGAAGAATATGCCATTGAAAATAAAACAAATGATTAGCTTAAAGCTTAAATGAGTTGAGCTTAGATCAGCTACAAGTAAGGTGGCAGGAATCTGTACAACTATGCTTGCTACACTTGTGTAAAACTGCAACTCTGCTGGGCTGTAAAAAGTAAATAAAATTAAATGTCGCTATATGTTAAAAATCATTAACATATAGCGAGTTGCCCAAAGCACAAAATTTAGTAATGGCATATTATGCAACAAGTTTGATGAAAGTTGGATTTTGTTTTGCAAAATGTGACTATCGCACTTAAAAATTGATACTTTTGAGTACAGAGCAAAAAAAGTATATATTTTAAACTTACGTATATTTGAATTTGTCGCCAGAGATTAACATTTTTGAATAAACATTTTGTATACACTCTGTAACATTTGTTGCCATTGCCGCAAGAAATCCAATCACATCAAAACTAATTTCATTGATTGAACAGAGCGCCAATCCGGACATTACAGGTAAAAGACTTAAATTGACATAGAGACCTGTTTGTTCACCTAAAAGAAGTAACCATGCAGTGTTTTATATTTTGGATTTTTATTCGATTTACCTAACAGGAACCTAGAGATAAGCACCGTGAATAAAGGGGCGGAACTCTTAATGGTTTCTGTAAAACTTACGGCTACATAATTTAACGCTACTAAACCCAAAACAACTGTTAAAAATCTAGTACAACCAACCAACAACATGTGCCTATAAAAACCAGGAGGTTTATTTAACCTTTGGGATGGTTTGTACATCCCACAAGGAAAAAACAATTGCACGAACCCGCATGTCGCAGTCATTAACATCTGACAGGCACCTTAAAACTTATTTCATCAATTTACTGCATTTCACCAACACCAACTTACCTAACACCGTAGGATTTCCATTTAAATACGTTAAAATATACTTGTTTAAAAACAATGTGCAACCGCTGAAAAAATACCACAGCAACAAAAAGGAGACCGCTCTCAAATTGGTTAAGCCCTTTTTAGGACCTTCCACAATCGTTATGTCTTTCTTGGTTCCGTTAATTTCTGTGTCTCGTCCATTGGAAATATGTTTTTCCATGACTGCTTCACCTAACATTCAGCAATTTTCGCGCCGCAAAACCATTTTGTGATATTCTAAAAGCAGTTATACTTTATAACACCATTTACGTGTATTTACTTTCACTGACATTGAGAAATTATAGGTTAGAGCAGTGCTGGTAACAGAAGAAAGAGTTAAGCAACCACCACAGAAAACTAAAGTAATTTTGTGGTAAACTATTTTTTGTGGAAAATTATTTTGATGACTTCCACCTACTTAAAAATTCTCAAATATAACTTTTGCTACAGATAGGCAATAAGTTTAATTTTGATTACCGCCTTAATTAGGATATTTGTTAATAAAAAATAGACTCTGTCTTAATAAAAAGAAGTTAACATTTCAGTATTCATAATATGTACATCAAAATATGTAAATATACAGTCAGTCAGTCAGTCAGTCTATGTAAAAGTGTCGGAGTCTCGACTACAGTAAGTAAATAATTAAATTGTTAAACTATGATTTTTATTGGCCTTGAAGGATTATTGGTAGGAAGCAAAATTACTATTTTGGTTGACTGTTTATTAATTCATGTTTAATACCTATACGTGAAAATAGGCCTATTATTGATGGTGTCCCAAAAGTCAATACATTAAAAATATACCAAAAATGCAATGATTTAAAAACGGCAGGGATTTACAGACATGCATTTTTTTATTGGACATAGCTTTTAAATTTGATCTATTAATTTTGGGACACCAGTATATAATTAATATAACAATATACCGACGGATGTGCTTAAAGCTATAGATACATAATATAGTGTAAAACCTAAGACATTTATTTTGGTGTTTACATTGTTTCATTTTAGCACTTCGAATTTCGATTTTGTATAAAAATATTGGTTAAGACAATTTAAATTTTATTTCAAAATTTAATTGTTAAGTTATTACGTTAAAAATATAGCTAAACAAATAGTTTCAGATATTATTTTCTTGACGTATTATTTTCTTAAACTGACAAACATTGTTGACATAAGAATCGATACCTAAATTGTGAACGCATTGTGCGCGAATTATATTTATTTAGTATAGGCAATAGGTTTGTTCCTACGAGGAAATCTCGAATCCAGTTTAGTTTTTCAATTAAAAGCGAAACATAAACTCTAAGAATATGAATCATTCTTATCGAATACTTTGTTTAACACTTGCTTAGTTACAAAGAAAAAAAAGCGGATATGACAAGTTAAAACCGCCAGCTTTACTGTAAAATTCTGACCACTGTTTTCGATTAAGAACAAACCTAATTAATTGATATTTCGGAGGGCGACAAGAAAAAATTGGCGTTTCAGTACACAACGCTTTTTTACAAAGTTTTTTTGACATTTAGGCTTGTAATTATTAATAAAATACAACGTTTTAAACGCGGGTTTCATCACCAAGGTGAGTGAGATGCTCGTTACCTTTCCAATATATCCTCTCCTTGATTCTTTCACACTGCAAAGAAATATATTGTTTAGATTTGTAGACTTTTCTCAATATAATTTAAAAGTAAATAGTACTCACATCGCTTTTTCATGCAATAAAGAAACTTCCGAACCCATAGTACAGGGTGACTCACATTGAGCGTGGGTTAATATCAAAGCAAACGTAATAGTTAGTTAGTTCTCCAGCTTTTTTAATAGGACACCCTGTATAAGGTTCACTTAAAGCGATTGAAACGGTAATTTTTGCGAATCTCTCGCGAGAGGCTTATTTTAAACATCGCTAGGCAATGGAAATGGATGTTGCACAAGCACTGACGTAACAATATGAAACATGCTAATATATTAAAATATGTACCCTTATCCTGTAGATTCGAATGCTGAAAAATTATTAAATAATTTTTTATTCTGATTCAAGCAAATATAGTAATGTCTAAATTAAAAGCAAATAACTGTAATCTGGCTAATCTAGTGCCAGTATTATATTTTTTCATTATTTGTCTATGGGTACAAAAAATTTACTCTCCTGAGATTCTCTCTTGAACTTTGAGATTCATGATCAATTATTAAATGAAATTTTTAGCATTTTTTATTACTGGACAATAATATGTAAAATGATGATCACAATATAAGTAATTAAGTGCAACCAGCTTCGATACTCTGAAGAACCACTGTACAAAATGAATTATGACTCATTTATGCTTAACGTTTTTCAACTGAAGGGGAAATTTGAACTTTTTAATTTCCAGAATCCTTTTAATACGGAATGCCACAGGGTTAGCCATTATCTCATTGGTCTCAAAATTATGATAAAATAGTAGATATAGCTTATAATGCACATTTCAAAATTATTTTAAAATATACAGCGTGACGAATAAAACCTACATTTTTTAAATGCAACACCATATTTGTAAATTGTAAATATTTCAAAAAGTCTTAATTTTTTATTTAAAAATACATACCTAAACCTAATAGTTTTTCCAATATTTTAATTTTACTTATACAAAAAATTAAAATTTCGTCTGTTGTTTTATTTACGGCTCCAGCAAAGTTCTTTATTATGTTCATTTTTTCATCTGGACAAAGCCCTGTTAGTTAATAGTTGTGTCATAGCCAACTAATATTATAGCAATAGTCTTAGACAAAAAGAAGGGTAAATATTGGAAAACGTAATCATATATATCACATACCATTTAAGGTTAATTAATATTTTTCTATTTTTCACTTTAAAAGGATCCAAATATATTCGTTTATTTTGAATGATTTACCTTGCAGCGTAAAAACTAGTATTTAAAAAAAAATATTGCGAAAATTATTGTGCTTTCGCCAGTATGTTCAACTGGATTACAAAAGAGCTTGGTTGTTGCATGCAACATTCTAGCGTATTTTCCTAGTTTTCAATTTTTATTTGGGGATAAACTATTTTTAAATCAAATTACGACTAAGGCAGGTGCATACTAAAATACTCACAGTTGCGTGCACTCTATAGTTATAAAAAAGTGATTGTGGTGGAGGTAGACCGTGTGTTTGTGTGGTGTGGTGTCCCTAGAGGTGTAAGGCAGCATCGTTCACCTTAATGAGAATGCCTTCCTCTTCCTCCTCTTCCCTCATCGTTGACAATCTCTTTTCCAATTTTTGTTTCTGTTCATTTTTGTCCTCTTTCTTATTGTTCGGTTTTTTCTTTTTGAATCTACCACCGAAAAATCATTGCTTTCGCGCCAACTGGACGATCTTCCTCTTACCTGCTTTTGGGGCTCTTCTTTTTCTCCTCCTTATTGCTCGTTTTTTTGGGGTTGTTATTTTCGTTCACTTGTTTCCATATACCGGTTTTGTCCACTTCTTCGGATATGTTGATGGCTGAGATCGGTATGTTCATGACGTTACCGTTTATCAGTGGGATTTTTAGGCTCTTTTCCAAATTGCCAAGTTCCATCTGCGGCTGGTCAACCTAAAATGACACACTACCAAATTTAACAATCAATTGAAGCATTAAATCTACAATGAAACCAACCTTCTGAAAGAAAGTATGAAGATAAAATTAATTATAAAAAGCGTTTTACTTAACTGAAAATGTAAGCAATGAAACACTACTGCGATGGCTGAAACTGAATATAAGGAAAGGAAAACGGAATAAGCTATCAACAATTACCAATAGGCAATTGTTTCTTTAGTAAATTTTTGCTTCACATTTGCTTACTTTGGTTTAGTAGTACTTGTTTTTATCAAAAATTTGTTGATAATTGATAATTGAGTAAAAGATTTTACTATTTTTGGCACTATGTCCTTCACACTATTTATATAAACAGGTTTAACAACCATTGCCAATTTCAAATGGAACATAATTTATAATCTGTTTCGTCACCGTCAGACATTGTCATTCTATAAAAAATCAAAAAGTATGTTTATCATTTTACTACTACAACAAAAAAAAAGATGTGCAAATTGAAAACGCAAAAATGCAGATGGGTGGAAAGAAAAGAAAATAAAACGGAAAACTTCTAAATGTTTTTATTAAAAATAACAATACTATGTCGTCGAATAAAATAACAAGCAAATGGCGACGAAATAACTTGATATCCATTCCTGCAAAATCATTTCGATACTTTCCATTTTAAATACGACTTATTTCTACTTATATTCTAGGTTAATTAATTAGAACATTTATTGCCAACTGCTCTCAAATCCTTGTAAAATTTAAGTTTTTCGCATCACAGGGTATCAAACCGCACGAATTGACATTACTTTGACTTGGCTTTAGGCTTTGTTACCGCACGCCAATGCACCATAGCTGCCCAAACTTATAAACTTGTCAAATAAACGTCGAACATGCCGTAACTTTTTTATTATGAAAAATTTAATGCAGAAATTAGTTGACACACAATAATTGTTTAAAGGCTTATAAAAATTACGAAAATATGTAATGATATTACAATTTGGAAAGTTACGTCCTTTTGCCCAAAATGTGATTTTATCTTTATCTTTATCTTTAAATATCTGATGCATAAGCCATAGCCAAAATTAGGAGCGACGTTAAATTTTTAATATGCGTGTCATGGTTTTGCAAAAATCGAACTCATTAACGTTCATTAACGCACACTCGTAACAGAAATTTTAACAACTTATCATTTACCGGAAATTTTCCTAAGTGCTACCGAACTGCGCAAATTATTTACAAGCTTGTTGCGCGCTTTAAGGTATATAAATGAGGTAATTCACAAGTTATATCACATGATCGGTTTCTAACGACACTTAGCAGATATCAAGTTTCGTGCTTTTAAATTTACCTATATTTTCGGAAGGGAAAAAAATTTGCATAATGTATTGTGCAAAGTACGTACCGTGCTTCCAGTTTGATAACATTTTGATTGACTGATATCAAGTTAAAAACTAAAAACAGTAAAAATTGAAGAAGGTCCAATTTTGTTTGGAATTTTGAATAATTAATTAATAATTATATATTTTAAAATAAAACGCCAAGGGTATTAGTCGGTTAATGTTGATGCGATGTACTGCAGATCCTTATTTGCGTCCTTTAGAAAACAATACAACGTAATATGTGGAAGATCTATAATAAATAATATGGCATTAACAGAAAAATATTTAAAAATGTGATGCTAGTGATGAATAGAATAGATACTAAAAACGTTTCATAAACAAACATGTCGAACGTAGTTTTTTTGATCAGAAATATAGTCGACAAATTAAATTAACTGATTTTCTTATTTGCACATGCGTAAAGTATGTTATTTATATATTATATATATCTTTTTAATGGAATTGGACAGTAGGTTTTTGAAAATATTATTTTGATATTGGTTACATTTTTAAAAAAAATATTAAAATTAATATTTTTCTTTTATGAAGTGGCGACAAAAACTCTTATGAGGTTTTATTATTAAATAAAGTTATGTGAATAGATGTATTGCGAATGTTAAAGAAGACTTTTAAAAATGAAACAGAATTCACCAGTAGTTATTTTGTCATACTTTACCCTTTGTTTTTTATGCCAGCTTCTTTTGTCAATCGGGAGAGGCAAGAGGCAAGGCACAAAAAATATCCAGGTTAAAGAACTGTTAAGTATTTGAAAGCTTCCATCTAAAAACGCTAGTGTGTTATCCCGCGGAATCCTTAGACTGCTAGAAGAAGCATATGTACAAGGGATTTTAAAAAGAAGCCTTGATATTTATATTATTATTATAATTCTTTTGAATATCCGTGAAGTTGGATAATCTAATAAAATTTAAACACATCTTTGGGGCATAGAAATCAGGTGCAAGTTTACAAAAAAATGTGTTGAAAGAAACGAAATGAAAAAATACAGCAATATTTGCAATAGTAAAGCAAATTAATTAATTTGTAATGTAATAACACCTATAATCGTTATTTCGTAAGGTTTAATAAATTAAGAATCACTAATTGTTGTCCTATTTTTGCCAACATCTTGATAACAAGCATAAAGAAAAGTGTTTCGCTGCTAACCCCACATTTTGTTTTTTTTTTATTTATCTTTATGTCTTCAAAAACAAAAAAGCTACAGCCGATCAAAATTTTATCTAGATAAATTTGAACGCAAGGTACTTATAATCTTAATGATGATCATAATTATGTAACATCGACTGCCTAATAATACTTGGATAGATATAAATCTACTTCATTGCCTAAAGGAGTATTCCAATTTTTTCCCGTTTCTATCGAAACCCCGCTAGCGACCAAATATAAATACCCTAAATACGAGACTAGGTTGGTGTCACTAAATTTGTTCGCTTTGCAAAGGTAAAATTACGGCCGATTCAAGCGAAAGTTTCTTTTTCGCTAACCGCGCAAGGCCGGTATGCTTTTTTGTCTCTAACCAACTTAGGACCTAGAAAGAATTTCGCTATTTTGGCACAACATCCCACCTCGGTCTCCTTCAGCATCTCGTGGCGATTCGACATTTCCGGCATGACGTCGTCTAATATTTTCATCTCCCGTCTCGTGAAAATGAGATCTAAGGCTTTCCTGATGCCGATCATCACCACCAACATCAGCGGAAACAGGATGGAGGTTTGACTGAACGATTTGATCGACCACAGGCAGATTAGGCAAGCGAGTTGGATGAGCGTGAAGATGTGAACCTTCTTTATGGGAACCTAAGGAGAAAATAATTCATTAAGTGTTTTGGGTAGTGATGACAATATAATTAAGTTTTTTGCGAGATTGAAATAAGACGGGGGACCATTATTTGATGAATAAACGCAGAAATTCTTGAATATGTATTGTTTTGGATAATAAAAAAATAAATTTGAACATTATTTAGTGAAATTGAAAGAGCACTATACCCATTAGGCTCAACAATGTTATGATATTTTATTTTCAGATGAAAAAAAAAACACTTGGCACTTAAAATATTTTCACGTTTATACAGCATTAAAATTTGTTTTGTAAAAATTAGAAAGGGAGAGGGAAAGAAAAAACAAAAAAAATATATATGTGTCTTTAGCTAAGTATGTACATTGTCACCACTGAAATTGCCGTTTTTATTAATGAGTTTTGACAAATTTTTGATTTTGAGAATAGTTTGTTTTAGAAAAATAATGAGTCAATTCTCGAAACTTGTTTTTATTTATTTTATTGTGATAATAAGACATCTAAAAATTTTACTGGAGAAAGTTGTTTTCTTTTGGGTTTTTTAAAAATACGTGAATTTCCAAAAAAAATCGGACACACTTGATTTTCTCACGTTTTATCAACCCAACACCATAATTTAAAAAAATGGTATATAGATTAACTAGACTGAATACTTAAATAAAGTGTTTTTCAAGGAAAATCTTCAAATGCACCTATAGAAATCATTTTAAAAGTAAATAAAGTTTAATTTTAATTAATTTTTTTTAATAAATTAATCAATTGTATTACAGTTAAGGGGGGTAACCAACTTAAAATATAGTTAATAAAAAAGAGGGAAAAAAAGGGAAAATAGTTATTCTTACTTACTTGAAAAATAAGTTTGGCAATGTCTGACGTTTGTGTTTTTTGTACAGGATACGAAAAAAATACCGAAATATAAACTTTAAAGTGTGTGTGTGTTTGTTAAGTGTTTTTTTACAGCTTAAACACAAAGCATTAAATACAAATGTTGTTTTAAAAATAAAAATACATTAAAGATTTTCGAAGCAAAAATTCGAAATTTCAAAATTTCCTTTTAAAACCAAAATATTGTTCCTACTTTCTTTGATTACAATCTTCATAATTATGAGGTATTTTTCAAAATAACTTTAGAACAGAAAATATTAAATATATGTGATAACGAAATTTTGGTTTTATTATCAAATTATTAAATTCATTTTCTCTCCATATTTTCTTGTACAGCTTCATTTATAAGCTGGAGTTATTAATTAAATTTTGTAATTTTGTACTTCATTATGATGAAACTGTTTGTTTCCGAATAATAACATTTCTATCTTACAATATTTTACTTTTTCCCTGAAGAGAACTATTTTTGTGTACTTTTAATAACAATGAAGAATGTGTGAATAAAAACTGAAATCTTTTTCGTTAAAACTTTGTTTAGTTTAGATATCGACGCTTTTTTAAAAACTGCATTTCACAAAAAAATGCTCAGAAAAGCTGTTTAAGAAAATTAAGTTCATTACAAAGTTCGAATATGTCATATTTTGTCTTTGATAAAGGCACAGTGTTGCCGAAACGGCTGAACATTTATTGTTCTAATTTCATTTGTGTTAAATGGATTTTCATCAAGTAAAAGCCACTTAAGTACGATAAAAATATAACTAATAAATTTATTAGCAAACATATTTCCATACTTCTTATTGATAGGTACTTGCCTGCCTCAAAAACATATAGTCCGGTTGATACTTGTTCGGCATGAACATGATGAGTATCCTGTCAAAAAACTGCAGTCCTTTCAGCGAAGCGACACCCATGTACAAAAACACGCCGAATAATACCGGCATTGGTATGTGGCCCAACATCGGTGTTAAGAACACCGACAAGCCGATGGTTAAGAATATCAAAATGTGGGTGACCCTTTGTTCACGCACCCCTAAGAATTGGGGCTTCTCCCCCGGAGCTGCGCATTCCGATTCTAATTTTAACGAATTGACGTGGTTGATTGATAGAACCGTAGCTGCTACGAACCACGGAAGGCCCATTACCTAAGCAAAAATGAGCCATAATTTATTTATTTTATTTTGTACATGCGTGGGTATCTAGAATCGCGTGAAATAATAAGTGTCTAAATGGGTTTGATTGCTATTGTGGCATTAAATTTATAGTGGTAAGGCGGCAATCTTAAACTTGGAGCCATTTCAGCAATTAATTCATCTGTAGCATATGGCAAATGATAATTTCCTTTTTTTTTGTCGATGCATTTGGTACAATTTTATTAAATCTAAAATGATATCGTGCATTATCCATGAGACCCTGTTTTGTAATGGAAACTACTGTAATTATCCGGTAACCAGGGGTACATCTTTAAGAGTGGCTCTTTGAAGTCGTAACGCGTTGCTTTTGTTTTGTTTATCTGCATCTCATTAAAATGTAGTCAATTGGAAATGGATGCCTATCTATGTATTTATGAAATACTTTACTTTATTTATTGAATTTGGGATGCGAACAGGTATAAAAATACAGTAGACTATGCTTTTGATATAAAACTAGAATCTGTGTATACAAAAAAATATGCTAAATATTCTAATGTGGTACTAAAAACACAATCACTTTATTCCAGTTGCACTAATTAGGATTAATTTACTAAAATTCGAAACAGGGCTATTTTAAATCCATTTCGTGAAATACGGAATATATCAATGCGCCATGAATAAATAACGGCGTTTCATTGGTCGTCCCAGATTTGAATCAATCAATACCATTGCTATTTTTTACTACTGTAAATTGGATATACATTTTTAACATAATAAAAAATTTCACCACTAAAATTTCTTTGGTCACAATAGGTAACCTGTAAGCTACAATCTGTAAGGTAAGGAATGCACTTTTCAAGTTAATTATGGTTAGGTATAGACTTAATATTAGGCATAGGTAGTAGTAGTAGGTGTGACTCTATCCACATTATCGTATGTACCGTGCGTTCAATTGATATTGATAACATTTTAATGGCTCGTACCTTTTTTGTTTCCAGAGATATCAAGGTAAACCAAAAAAAGCAAAATATAGGGTTAGTAGCCAAGTTTTTTCAAGTGACGTATAAAACAAATCACCATCAAGTTTCGGACATATAAGACAAATCATTTTTTTTTAAAGGGAACACCTTGTATATTATATATGTGCTTTTAGTCTACTCGTTTTTGACAAACCGGAAAAAATATATTAACAAAATTGTAACGGCAGCTCATCGTCAGTATATTTGACTTTATCTAGAGCGACAAGGCAATTAAGTTTGCAGAAAACAGTAACGTATTAAATGCTAAAAAGGATTTTATGAAGCACATCGAGTTTCCTCTATTACTGGAATATATGAGGAGACAGGTATTTCTCGGGGATCAATCTACTCAGTTTTGAAAGAGTATAAATATAGTGCATTTAAATTTCGTAAAACTCAAACACTAAGTGCAAAACCATGTCAAAGGAGGATCCAAATACGCGATATTTTCTTTAATAATTAATTATAAATTAATTAATTCTAGAGAAATACGCGAAATAAAAACCCAGGGGTGATCAATTAATGTGTATGGTGTGGAGTCATAGATCGCCATATTTTGTTAAATTAAAAGAAAAAAATTTTTTTAACATAGAATATCCCAGGGGTTCGATAGGGAACGGCGGAACTATGGATTGGCCAGGCCATAGCCCCGACTTAACTTTAAGGATTTCGGAGGCAATCAGTCAGTTAACAGACATCATACAATTAGAGTCTATGAGAAATGTGTTCAGGAAAATGGTGGTCACATACGTATTTAGAATAGTTATAGAATTTTTTACTTTAGTGTACCTTGTCATTTTTAGTGTTTTTGTTCTACTTTAATTTAATTTAATAGGGTATCCTATAGTAGTAAGCAAAATTATAAAATATCATCTCAAAATTTTAAGTAAGCTGCAAGAGATGGAAACTCATGTTTTTATATTCATTATTTTTGATACTTTTAGACGTAAAATCTGCCTCTAAGATTCACAATGTTGATACGTGGGTACTCACCGAACAAATCTGAATTAAAATCGACAGCACGAAGAGATCCAAATGATACCCGCATCCCTTCTTCAGCTTGTACTCTTTCCGATTGATTATAACGCTGGTGATTTGCTGATCCATGAAAATCAATATGGTGCCCAACAGAGCAGGAGGAAACGCAACCAACACCGAGTACAGCGGATTGTGCTTGAAGGGCGGGATCAGCCACCCCCTGTCCGGAAGTGTCGGCTTGAATTCGTGGGGCACTTCCAACTTGGGGGTGGGAATGTTCATATAAAAATCTAACATCGTCATCGACATGATCGCGATGATCACGGCGAAGTCGCTAACAAATTGACGAACCTTTAATTGCAAAACAAACGTAAGTTGCTTAGAGTAGAGATCTAAGATGGCGATATTTACCTTGGAGGGGAAGAACAACGCGTTCTTGAAGTCTTTTAGCTCGATAGATATCAGGAACGTGCCGAGAAATAGAACAATTGACATTAGAAAGACGTCAGGTGCGTAGGGAGGATTGTAACAACCGTAACCTTGAAGATCCCCTCCGAACTCCTGGCAATATCAAAAGTATTTTAGAGAATGTTTTATTGCAAGGGGTATGTTAATTACCAGGCAAGTGGTTTTGTTAAGCGAAGACCATCCAATAACTTCCGGGTGTTCTATTTGAATGGAATCGTTCACCAAACATGAACATTCGTACGTAACATTCAGCGAACCGGTGGTGTTGATCGGGTACTTCTTTCCTATTGCCATCACGTTTTCCACTGCCTAAAAATTAACACAATTTTCTGATTGGCTCAGGAAACAGCTGTGGTTTACCTTATAAATAAATATAAATGCTATAAGCGTAGCGAAATTCTCTTCGGTAAACCTAGTGATGTAGCAAACCAGAGCGCTTGCATCTATGGCAACCAGAATTAGCAATATCACAGCTATCCACGTTCCAATCCAGAAGCGGAATGACATATAGTCCCAACCCATATTGTTGCAGAAATCGTAGACTATCGTTTCAAACACCAACACCGGTCCTGTCAACAAACACATTTTTGTCCATCTTGTCCATATTGTCAACTGCTAAATGTGCTTACCAGTTGACCCAAGAATTGTTAGTGGCTGGCCCGAGAAAAATCCATAGCCCATTCCGCAAACAAACCCAGAAACCAGCGACTCCATTGCCGCCATATTTCTGCCCGTGGCTTCGGCTAATAAACCTCCGAAAGTAATGATAGGCGATAAGCAGGCGAAGTATAGAAAAATCCACGAAGCAATGCATTGCATGGCCAAAGCGTCCTTGAAGTCGCTCCAGTACCAAGGGGCTTTCCTTTTGAGGTCGTTCTTTAGTCCTCCGAAGAGAACGCCAGTTCTGGCCAAGCCAGATTCTTCCCTCAGTCTTTGCTCTTCCTCTTCTTCGTCTACTTCTTCGGGTACTTTCTCCGGTGGCCTCTTCCTAGTGTCTTGCGATGGTATGGCGGCAGGCGGTTCTATCCGAATCGCCGGGTCCCATTCGCCAGGTGGTAATACGGTCACCTTAAATGTGGTAGGGAAAATCGAAATGTGTCTTGATTACTAAAACCACTTACAGCATCTAAAAATTCATCCACTCCAGCCAACAAGTGACTTCTGTTCTTAGCCCTGTATGCGACTTCGTGGAATACTTCATCCGACATTAGGGTAGCCATTGCTCTTCCGATTTCGTGATACCCTATACCGATTATAAATATGTCAACAAATTTTCAGTTTACGTAACGAAGCTTACCCAGAGTTGATGAGGAGGGGCCTAGCAGTAAAAACAAAAACCGCGTGGGTACTGGGACCTCCGTTAAGTCACCGAGGACTACGGCCGTGTTCAATCTGATAAAGGCGGATAGCGTTTTCTCCAAGAAGTCGACTTCTCCCACCAGTATGTTGCTGGCTTCCGCTCCTGGCGGGATCTTCTTCATAAACGAGATGTTGTGCTGAGGAATTTCGTTTCCGAAACTTCCGAGGTCATTGTGGCTCTGGTTGCGATTTATCGATATATTGCTCGCGCTTTTAAGTAACCTCTGCGGTTTTTCCGTACCTACAGATCGCTTTGTTTTTCGTTTTGTTTTATGAATGTTGCAACGGCGAAAGCTGCGGTCTTTTCAGGTGAAACGCCGTTTAAGTACCCTTAACAGGATACTCAAAAGAGATTTCTCCTTGTAAAGCAAATCAGTAAAGCAGGCGGACGACACTAGCATGCCACGAAAAAGTTTATCTCGTGAGATAATTAGCCAAATCATACGGCAAAATCATAAACGGTGCACATCTCAACGGGGTAGTCTAATGCATTCATTCTAATATTAAAATAAAAGATAATTAAGTATAATTTATAAATTTAAGCGAAAAATTAACGGAATTACGTATGGGGGTTGAATATTTTACCCTGTCCGGGTACTGCGAGAAATTTTCCAAAATCAGATTTTGCAGTGGCGTGTTCACCGAATGAATGTTCGTCGACTGAAACGATAAAACATAACGGGGATCAGAACATTTGATAAGGCAGGACTAGAGAAAATCCATAAGAGACGAATTAATGATTTTTATTTAACTACTATTTTTGCGATATGTCAACTGTAATTATACTTAAATATATTAAGCAACCGAGAAAATAAATCGCGTGCGTCCGAGATAAACAATATTCTCTCAGCTACTTAGATTGAAGTCAGTAGATGCATAAACAGAGTTCAGACGAACATAAACTTCGGGGGAGGAGAGATTGTAAGGTTTGAGGTTATGTACGTCTGAACTCTCTTTATGCATCTACTGAAGTCGATGTATATACAGGGCATGCCTTCTACAATGTGATATTCATCGGAAGGTTGCGTAATAGCATGCGTGCAAATAAACCTCGTCCCCTAGAATAATAGGTCATTTCGTGAAATTCTGCAACGTTGGAAGGAAAGACGATTGAGTATGCTTAATAGAAAGAAAATAACATTGAGAGAATATCCCCAAGCTACCGTATCTACCTTCTTTAGAATGGTGTTGCAAAGTGACCCACGTGGTAAATCCTTGAACGTGCGCTGTATATTCCGCTGCGAACGATCATTCAGTGAGATTTTTTCCGACATTCATCCAAAGAGTTTTATACACTCCTTGGCACGAAAACCCGAAGCACTTGTCATTTTATACATGACATAAGAAATTTAATGTTTGGTAATAATATTGCAAAAACTTAAGCACAAACAAAACATGCTTTAGGTAATTTTCAACAACAACCAACAATAGATTTGAAAGGAAAAAGTCTTTGGTTACAACAATACGAAAAAACGAAAATTTAAATTGTCATTGTGGCCTTCAAATTAATGAAAATTGGAGCACATAGCTAAAAAACTGAAACTGCACATTTCTTATATCGACTTTTGTGGCCACGTCCTAGAACAATTGTCTACATTTTTCTTGGTATGCCTGAAATCAGTAGGAGGATATCTTCCTGAGGGATAAGCTCTCATTCCTCTAGTAGGACTTTAATTCAATAAAAGTTAAGTAAAGACTTAACGCTGACAACGTTTATTTTCCACACAGACAATTTTTTACAATTACAAAAAAATTACAATTATTTACCTCATAATCAAAATGTTATGTGGATCAACTATTTGCAATGTTCAGGAGATATTGCTTTAATTTTATTTAAAAGTTGTCAAAGAGTCATAGTTTTCTCATCAGGAAGGCGATTAAAAAACTACATACACATTTGAGCTCAATCGAGAAATCAGGAACTGGCAGTGATTTTTACAGCTCGTCGATCAAAATCCCTCAAAATTTGCATTAAGATAAAAGCATCATAAGGGACACCAGTCGAAGGGTGACTGAAGGTATATTCAGCAGAACGTTCATCTTTCAGTCTTCGCTATACCCTCTTACGACAATTTGGAGATGACAGGCTAAATCTCGACCCATCGGTAAACAAAAAACCCATCGTCTAAGTAACTTCTCTAAAGTCGATTTCTGATTCCTAAGTTTTCGTAGACTTTGTAAGATGGCAAAGCAATCATTATGAGCAACATTTGCTGCTGTTATTTCAGAACTTACAGCAGGCATTTTTGGCTGAGAAATCTTTAAACTACGTGTTAAGCAGCAAGACCTTAACAGTCAAATTTGTAATAACTAAATAAGGTTACGGACAATCGTGCAGTTTCAAGTAACAAATTTAAGCAATTTTTTACTTTAGTACATATTTATTGAAACCCAGCTTTCCCTTTCAAATAAGCTGTTGATTAATTTTTCAAAGAACCTTCACAGACTACTGTAATACTTTTTACAAAACTTTGATGTTGATTGTTGACAGAAATTACTTAAAACCTATTGTTTTTTTGTTGCTTAAGTTATTAGAATAATAAAATACCAGAAAGCCATAACTTTTTTTCAATTTATCAAATAGGCATGTGTTCCGTTTTTCGTGCCTGTGGAAATATCACAAAACTATATACGAATACATAAATAGGGTTCTTGAATGTTTATTCTTGTTGTTAAATTAAAGCATTAGCGGAGATTACTGCTTCCATTATGCTTCCATTTTGGGCTTGTCGTAGACCTTTGGTTAGTAATCCACAAGGCTCATTTCACCAAGCAATCCGTATACCAAGCATGCGTCCATCGAATTTCTTTTGCTGTTCATTTTAAATAAGAAGCTAGAAATTAAAATGGAGGTACCAACCAAAATTTTGCCTTCCGACTTGTGCCAGAACCCATTAACCCTGATTTTAGAGTCCGTTTGCTTTTAATGGGTTCTTATGCGAATTGAAATGAAAGAATGCAACTATATCGATTAAATTGAAGAAAAATTCAACTACTGACGTCGTTATTTGATGATAATCTTATCATCTTTATCAACATTTTTGTTCCGTCTTGATTGGGAACCCTCCCAACTGAATTCAGCAAAAGAAAAAAGGCGGGCGCATTTCCAGTTAGTTGCGTTAGACGGTATATCCCGAGTTCGTAGCTAACCTGAATCGGACCTAATCGAACCGTTTTTCCCGATCTCTGCACCCTTAACGATCACAGGTTTCTTTTTCTTCGGCGGTTTCGCTATACAAAACAAAGACGCGCATCTATCTGAAATTTTAGAAATCTTTTCCTGACTAAAGCTTATTCTATCCGTTGACGACGCTGTAAAATTACACCCGATCGACTGATAACGCAAAAAAATGATTTGAGAAGTATTTCTATCATCAAAAAAGGGAACTTACTTTTGGAAGTAGACTGGTTCTTTCCGATTTCCTGCAGCGACCTTATAAAAGGCAGTCCGTGGTTCTTTCTTTGGTACTGATGTCTGTGTCTCTTTAACAGGGCGTCTTTAACTTTGTCCCTTTTACTGAATGGCAGTCTATTGTTGTTGATCATGTTATCCAACACTAGGTCAGCTATTTGGTCGATTGTTGTCGCCTCCATGTCCAGTATGACCGATCCGTTTAGTAGTAGGCTTCTCAGTTCAAATAAAGAGTGCAGTGAAAGAGTTGCCACGTGAGGTTTCGACCATCGATTACCACCTAAACAATAGAGCCCGTATCTTAAAAGTGAATCTTTGAATAGTTCTATGTTGGAAACTGCAGAACACAATCTAATGAGTGTTCTAATTAAATATACACTTAACATATTGTCCACTGACTATATATGCAATATAATATTAAGCAAGCTTTCATTGGCACCCAAATAACACCGAAAATACTAGTCAAGAAGTACACTTTATTTCAAAGTCAGTCAAGGACAACAATTTTTACAGTCTTAGTTTTGATAAAATTTTGGTAATTAAATGGAGTAGAATTTAAAAAAATAGTATGTACACAACTATTCATCAGAAATAGAGGACCAATACTTTCTTTCAAAGAAGTTCGCAGAATAAAGTTGTTTAAAGTTTCCGTAAAATGCTCTCCACAGAAGGGCGACAAACTCCAAGTTTAAATAGATTTCAACGAGCAGTCAAGGGCCACAACAAAAGAGAATTTTTGCGGTTTTAGGTTTGATAAACTCATGATAATTAAATGTTGGAATATAGATTATTAAAAATATTTTTTCCAATGTAATTTTTAAATATCTTTCAAATATTTCAAACCGTTGACTTATTATATTATATCTTTCATTGTACTGAATGACTCATTTAATAAGTACCTTAATAATCATTATTAGGGCATATTTTTAAGGCAAATGCAGTGCTTACTTAGTTTTTTCTACAGTTCACGCATTGTTTTTTAATGAATACAACATTTTTATTTTATATGGCTATCATCTGGTCTTAAAAAAATGACCGTATCAAGCCTTTTTCCACCATATAGATTTGTTCGTATCTGTGACGAAAAAAGGGCAAAATATAGATCCTTTCTTGTTTAGTAAACCGTGCATATAGCTGTGAACGTCAGTTTGGATCATAACTTTTATTCTTTACTGAATTTTGTGTTCCGTCACGTATTTTGGTGGACAAAGTTAAGCTTTAAGTTCATTTAGCAATTTAAGATCAAAATTTTGTAAAGGGTTTTGTTAACCGAAATTACAAATTTTATTTCAATACATAACCAGACCAGCGCTAATCAGACAAGCGAATATTTCGGACGTTAAAAAATAATTAAACCAATTTCAGAAGTTGAAAAAGCCAAGACAAGCCACTTAACCACTTAAATGAAGAACCGGAAATCCGGAAATCGAATATAATTGGACTAATATTGAAAAATCCAAGAATATCCCCACGGACACTAGCTGACGTAATAAATGCTATAAAAACTAAAATTTTGACTACTTTTAAAAAACATAAATTCAAGCCATATCATACCAGAAAAGTCCACCAACTATATGAGGGAGGTGCCGTTAGAAGAATGGAATTTTGCAATTGGTTTATCGGAAAATGCGATGAGAACATGTTCAATTCTCTATTGTTTTGAGTAATGAAGCGAGAATTGGCTGTTCCTGAATATTTAACATATACAATTCTTATTGTTGGAGCACAGGAAATCCTCAAACTGTAGTGCATCGCAATCGGCAAGGTCTCTTCGGATTCAATATATGCGAGGTAAATTTGTGGGATCTTATTTTTTTAATGAATATCTGACATCTGATGGTTATATAAATATTCTGCGAACATGTGTTGTTCTATTCTTGACAGACTTATCAGCTCTTACTGCACTTATTGTAAGTGAACTTTTAAATAAAGAGTTTGCACAATGTTGGATTGGAACTAGAGGCCCCATTATGTGGGCTGCGAGATCGTGTAATCTAACTCCTCTAGATTTTATTATGGGGAAGATTAAAAGATCTTATATAAAAAACTAGAGCTTCTCAAACCACAGTAGAGTTAGAGGAAGCCAAATGAAATGCGTTTGCTTCGGTCAAACCTATATAATTCCAACAGTTACGTTAAAACATTTCATTAAAATTAATGGAAAAGGTTAAATTTTTATAGGTTGTACGATAATATGTATTGCATTTTGTTTATTAGGTTAAATATATAATCAAAAATATTAAAATTTAATATTAAAAATTATATATAAAATTAAAATTAAAATATTAAATGGTTACCACAAAAAATTGTTTTCTAAATGATTAAAAATAATTAAATTAAATAACAAAATTATATCTAAAATAAAAGTAAAATATTTAATGGTTTTTACATTTCGTGTTTTTCACATAAGTTAATTCAAATTGTAATTATCGTAGTGTTTATTAAACTATTTTAAAGGTTTCTGTGTGACGTCTCTTTGAACATATTTTACACAAGGCCTACTAATACATACACAAAAACGCCCTATATTTCAGCCTATTTTCATCAAATACACAAACAAATTTAAGTTGTATTCATTTATGAGAAAACGGAGAATTGCAGAAAAAATCTTTGTTCGCCGTTGCATTTGCCTTAAAAATATACCCTAATGAGCCCAAAATCTTCAAAAATAAAAAAGTTAAGGGCAATTTTCAAAAGGACCGAAAATTGAAAAACTCCCTATCTAATCCAGCCTTTGACATGTAAGTCGATTTTGCTCTATCTAGTTCAGAAATAGGTTCTTCTTGTTAAAACATTCCAATTACCACCCAATATTCATATTTATGGATGGACGGTGTCATTGAGAAAAAGTAAATAATAATCCCACTACGATATTGGCAAAGGTAAATTAATAACTTTGTGAATTGCGCCTCGAGACTCCTTTAAGCTGTTTTATGACCTTACAGGGGTAATTGATTAGTAGAAAATCCATTTAACCCTCGGACTCGTGTTTGCCGCGCCAGGTTTGATGCTAATTTTAACCCCGTCCGTTTTATTTAAACGACCCGACTGTTAGTCAGAAAACCTCTCTACAATGTCAACGCGTGAATTGGAAAACGATTAACGTGACACGCAAAAAAAAAACATACCCTCTTCAACATCTTCTTCGAATTTTATCCATCTGGCTGTTTCCTTCCATTCCATTTCGTCGCCATCGACGACGAGTTCTTCCATTTCCGAAAACAGAGGGTGCGATTCGTATTTTTCGTCTGTGACGTCCTCTCCCAAGATGAATTGCACTCTTTGAGATGGAGGGGTGCCTACAACGTAAGCGACGCTTCAAACTGGCTCTCACGTACATTAATGCGGAAGAAAGACAGATCAATGAATGAATGAATCGAGTAGCAGCCGAACAAGAGACCAGCAACGTCGTAAACGTCCAAAATTGTTCATGCAAATAGCACAACTTGCAAAATGAACGTGAATGATATTCTAGTTGTTCAGTAAATTACACACTACAAAATCTCTAGAAGAAATCGTCCATGTGGTTGTACGAACATTTCTGAGTAATCCATTGTTTTGTCATTATTAAGAAGATTAAAGTATTTTATTGCATTTCTAAAGAAGTGTCATAACTAAATTATTTGGCAGCTTATAGAAATTTTAATATCGATCTGAGACAGATAATAACCCATACTCAAGGGAATCACAGTCATTGAAGTGTATTGATTTTCTCTTATCAGTTTCCACAGTGGTTAACAAGCGTGGCTTATTTGTGATCTGTCCGAACTGTTTTAACTTGATTGTGGCCTTTAGAAAACTTTCTCATAAGAGGCAACATTTAGACTATCAACTTGCAAATCCTTATGTTAAGCAGCTACGGATCAATCCACCGTTGAAAACAAACAACAAATTGAATATTAAAATAAATAAATAAGGAGGGAGAAAGCAAAAAAATATTACATATTTATAACGTACAGAGTCGAAGTCCAGTACTGCACTATTCATAAATAACTAATTAAATTCGTTATTCCACCTACATTTTTCGCATAATCAACTATCACAGAAAGCTGTTTAATTATTTCATGGTCATCATTAGCATGCGGCCATACCTGATGCTACATATTTACTGGAAATTGATAGCATATTTGAAAATATATTCCGATATCCGATGTATAGATAATGAAAAACAGAGAACCCAAAATTGAACCCCGTCGTGTAACACAAAGACACTAGCCTGTATCATATCATCTACTATATCACTCAGAACGGTTGCCAATACCATCGCGGTATTATATCATTTTCTAAAGCCCCATATATTAGTCACATGGGTTTCCTATTGGTACTATAAGCTTCAATGACTCGTGAATCACTTGCGTAAATGAGATTATTTTTGCAATTTGACGTAGGAAATATATTTGGGTTAGTGTCATATTTATTTTTCGTTTGTTTGTTTGCATGAATTTGTATGTTTACCTTTGTTATTTCTTTTGTACTGACTTTGACTGAGCATAACAAAAACTGAGGTAAAGTCTTAATAGTCATGTGCTAATTAAAAAGGTCGAAGATGATTGTGAATTAAGCAAAAGCTTAAATGTGCTAAAACATTTTTAGCGCATTTAATTAAAAGTTATACAAACAGTTTAAAAAGTGGTGCACATTTCAACAAAATGTGCGAAATTATCTGAAGAATGGTGGCTATTCGATGGTATACCTAGATCAGAAATATAGTGCTTTTACAACCGACCAAGTGATTAACTTTGCCTACTCTTTATTACTGCAAAGCCGCGTCCCCTGGCAGGCAGACCCTTACCCGTAACCATTTCAGGATTGTCCTAGGAATTTATCTACCTACAGTAACAAGCGGGACATAAGTATGTTTTCAATCTTTTTCTCCTAGCAATTCTTGAAACATGAACATAAGACATTTAGTAACAATTTAATACATTCTATTTCATTTCATTACACATTGCCCAATTACGGCTATGGTACTATCACTAAATCGTGGAGCAGTGTTATTTCTTTCTATATACGCTTTCAACTTAGACCAAATCATCTCAATCGTGATAAATATACAATGATATAATCTCAAGATTTCGAATACCTCCGTGATATATACGAACATATTGCAATTTAGATTAAATTGTTAAGAACGATACACATCACCTGATGTTAAAATAAAAGCTTCTACATATTCGAAAATACCCCACAGAATCAATGCTTAATCAAATTTTCGTTTCAAATAAAAATTTCAAGTTTGTACAAATATTCGTTACGGTCCATCTCAGGCAAGACCTACTTAATGCAGAATAACCATCTGTTGGAGTGGGTTTTACTACGGTCCTGCGAAGGTCTGCGGTTAAGGTACTGTAAAATCCTTAAAACGTCGAAGCAATAAATGCACTATATTTTTGGTCGTATTATAACAAACATTTGCTTCCGATCGTTTCAATGCATTTTTGAAATGAGTGTATAACTAGTAGACAATCTGTAATGTCTGTTCACGGGTTTTAGATTAATAAAAACTGTTGAAATGCATTGCCCTAAAATCAAGATCATTCAGAAAAGGTCATGCAAAATCTCGATTAATGTATTCTTTCCATAAAAAACATTGCGCGTAGTTTTTGCCATACACCAATGCAACATCAAACTCCCCAGTATGTTTATTTGTCCTATCGAAAACTTCTGTAATTCTTCTATGATTATTAAAGAGAGAAATTGATATTAAGAAATCACACTCGTCCATAATTTGTGTCCACTTATTAGATATTTCGACTTAATCTATGATATTTATTGTGTGAATTAATATCTCAATGAAGGACGAAATATTTTAAAGTGGAACAATCTAAAATTGAGATAGGATGAAAATGATTAGCATGTTGATTCCAATTTGATTCGACTTTGGATATCTTACAAATTTTTACAAAAGTGGCAATAATTGTCAGCCCATAAATAACTAGCAAATAAGGAACCGCCATATTGACCTATTTACAGTGTGACTTATTCTCTTTTTTACATCAAAATTTATAACAACCCCCGCCCATTCTAACGAATAATTTTAACGAAACCAATACAAAAATATGTCCAATTCATTCAACCCACCAGGCTTACATATTTCACCGTCTTCAGAAATACTAAGTCCTCTTCTTCTGGACATTACGATTCCTGCAAATTCGCAAAGGTTTTGTCGCTATGTTAAACGTATATACGCAAATTACACATAAACGATACTAAATAGTAAAAGAAGCTGATAACAATTATACATGAACGAAAGAAAGTTAGATATTTTCTTATAATAAAATCTTATTGATTGATTGATTTTACTCAGTTTTTTTTTGTAAGTTATTTCCCTATCTTGCTAAAGTTATATATATATATATATATATATATATATATATATATATATATATATATATGATGACACTATACTCTCCGGGATATCATCCGTTCGTTTGGTGAACTCCGACTGGAATCCTGCAGATGTTTCGCCAAGATCTCACTTGTCATCTTCAATGATCGCGCTCCAAAAAAAAACAAAATACTTGTAGGGTCTTCTTTGGATATGATATCACTGTTTTATTTTTATTATTATTTTATTACACGTTACTATTACAATTCATTGTAATAGTAACGTAATGTGCGGTTCAGCAAAAAACCTAGGTAATCATAATTAAACCTTCGCTAACAATAATATTAATTGGTTTCATTGTTCACAAATAAATAAATATACAATTACAAAATGGAATAGATCCACACGGCATTAAAACCGTAAATAAAAAAATGCAAGAAGAACAATAACATAAACAAATGAAAAATTTTCCATCAATTGCTATTCTTATATTTAACCCGAAGAAATGTAAGGTAAACTACAAAAAAAAACATTTTACTAGTGAGGAAAGCTAAACGTGCTGAAAAATGATAAAATGTTACTTTATACGATAAAAACTGTGTGAATTTTAACAATTTATAAAAAAAAGACATTAAATATATCAAAAGTTTTTTGCCCTACTCCTTATAACCGATAATGTATCCTACATCATCCAAGGAAGCAAGTAGAGGTCTGAGCCGAAACCTGCCTCTTCTTTGATCCCATAAATTGGGTTAAGGTCTTGGCTGTACTTTTCATGCCTAATGTAATCTGGCATTATAAAACCTGTTTCGTACTCCAACAAACTTATTCGTTTGATATTAAACTTCGTAATTCATTAAATTCCAAAGATAAAGACATGCATTCCCGTTAACGGAAACATCAACGCTTGATAATTTAATGGGGAAAATCAGTGGTGTGGAAAAATTTCATTTTATGGATTTTAAAATAAAGATTGTAAGCAAATTGTAAGCTTTAAAAGCAAGGAAAAACATTTCTGAAATAAAGCAGATTTATGTTTAGCAATTTTAAATGATAATTTCTGTGCCAATCCAGTATTCTAACATAATTTTTAATATAATTTTGTGATTAAAATACCAAAGTAAAAGTGAGTGTAAGTTCAGTCATATTTGCCCAATCCACAAATGAATCGAAACATACCATTTTGTACTCTTCCAGGGCAGTTAAAAAGGTTATGTACACTGTGGCACAGTAAAGAAAATATGAAACACTACGGATTCACATACTATTTTTTTAATATTTTTATTAATAAAATGTGTGCTTGCAACTATTTTATCGATGAAACTCGGGGGTCCAAGTACACTTTCAAGTTTCTAATACAAGTTTGTTGGATTATTGGTATATTTTTAATTTTTAAATCATTGAGGAATCCAGAACATTACTAAATAGAAAACCAAACAAATTTTGACGTATAAATTGAAAACAACAAAGGCGATAGGCGATTTTCTTGCAGAGATTTAAATAGAAGCATTTTAGTTATAATGAAAAAGCTATCCGTCAGGAAGAAGTAGCTAGATCTCTAGGCGTCTATTTCGATTCCCATTTAACTTGGACTAATCCAATAGACCATATTTAAAAAAAAACTTTCTTCCTATTGCTAGGAAGCATGGCTATTAAGAAATTTGGTTTCTATGGATTTCTTGCGGTTATGTTATTGTGCCTAAATTATAGCATAGTATGTTTGGGAGAGAAGCGAATCATAAGAACAATATTATTCAAACCTAGGTTTTTCTTTTGCCACCAACTATTTCGTGATGTAGCAATGCCAACTCTTTCCCGTATTCTTATTTATAATTGTGTGTTTAATTGTTAAAACTAATCCTAGTCGCTATAAGCGAATTCAAAATTCTGATTTGCATCAACGGTTAAGGAGCAATTTTAATAAAAAAAAAATCGCAGGCATAAATTGTCTGTGGGCAATAGTCCGGTTGTTTTTTCCACTGAAACAGAACTTAAACGAATTTTTTGACTGTGATAACACATTGTTGTAATCGTTTTTATACTTGTATATTATTTTAATGTTTGTATTTTTGGCAATAAGAGTTCATCAAAATTGAAAGAAGACGAAAAAGAAAATAAATGCAAAGTGTAGTTGTTTAAGTGGATAATCTTTTGTGCAATTACGTCCTTACCATTTTTTTTCCATAATCGTCGAAATTTGAATGATAATTATCGGTAGGATAGTAATAATTGAATGATGAATCCGGTAATCGCTAGTTGTATAATTTCCTCATTATCGTTCGGTTGATGCGCGTGCTAATTGGGATAATTGCGGCGTAGTCAGTTAAACGTTCCACGTGACATCTGCGGTTCCTTTGCCGGTAATTTGATTTACTCGAAAGAAATATTTTACGCGTACTTCAGTCGCGTATTGATGGTAATGATTGAACTTGTCACTTAATAACGGTCATCAATTCCAAACAATAGGTTTTCGCTCTGGCGTAATTAATTCAAAGCGACATCGCATGCTTTAGGTATACGTGTTTCATTAACTCGTAATGAATAATGCGTTGCTACATTAACTGTGTGATGAAAGAACGAATTCCCACAGCTATTAAAAATGGCCACGATAGCGATCAAAATTTTAAACCTCTTTAAATAATGTTTTGAACGTAAGTTATTTAAAAAATACTACTTGAGACCTTATATTAATGATATTTAAATAACGTACGCTATGAACTCGTAATAGGCTAAAAGAAACCGAATAAATGTAGCCTAAATCTGCAGAATTGTTTTTTTATTGAAATTTATTTTTGGGCATATACAGAGTGTTTAAAGAAATACCCAATGTTTTTCCATGACTAATGACCTTGCGTCATTCAAAAATATATATGGAAGCTGAAAGATCGTCAATAAGTTTGGGTGCGGCATTTTTACGGCCATAGTTTCTCAAAATATGCCCATTAAATCCCTATGCAAAAAGGCGTTAAGTGCGTGGATATTGGTGTTCAGAAAGAAAATGGCCCAAAGTGCCTATTAGTGGGTAACATTGAACACCTGTACGAAAGATCATTCCTATCTCTACGAAAATATTTCAGCAGTAGGTTCACTTTATTATCCAATAGCTATATGGTCTAAGTTTTATTACAATAAAAAAGAAACAAAACGGTACGTATTAACCGTTATAACCCATAATGTTTTCGACATCGTCCAAGGAAGCAGGTGGTGGGGTTGGTGATCTGTAAGCCACCCGTTTGATGCCATTATTATTCTATCGGGTGAAGGTCTGCACTGCGTGGAGGCTAGTCCAAGGTCTAATTTAAATAAGTTTGTACTACTCTTACACAATGTGGTCTGGCATTAGAACACTCTTGACTCAGAAAACACTTTATATTATTGACGGAAATTCCCACAGAATGTGACAAACGTTGAATATAAAACCTACTTTTCTATACACACTCTGTACACGCTTAGAACTAAAATTTAAATAAAAATGTTTTTTATAACATGGTATGTTAAGATTTATGTTACACTTATAAAAATATATTACCAAATCAAGTCAGTAGTTCGCCAGGAAATTAGATTGGATTAGTTAATTTTGAGCTGTGTTAATAAAGGAAAGAAAACTTACTCAGTAATAAAATTTTACAAGAACCCATAAACGCACATTAATTATATATATATTTTTAAATTTTGGCTGTAGTTTGCTACTAATGAAGAGTCCCCTGCGCTCGGGTAAAACTATAGGTTCACGCTATGTTAACCACAAAAATTAAAAATGAAAGACATCTAAGTTGTACAGATAAAAAACAAACTCTTAGAAAAATTGGTTTCCAACTATTAAATAAATATAAATAATGTTTTATAATAATTTTCGGATAGTTCACAGGGCAATTCCTAAATCATCGATCCGCAGATATTGATATAAAAAAAAAGGTTTTTATCATAATTTCATTATTTCTTTAAATTTCTGTCATCAGATTTGGCACATATATTTTAGGTATTACAGGGCATTTCTTAGTTGAAAATATTTTTGAAATTTTATGCCATCCGCGTCAATAAGCGATTCCAACTGACATTTTTCGAAAAATAGAAAGCGTACCTTTCTACTTTTGTTTTTCCTGTAAAAAAAATTGCCATCCAGTTTGGAGTAAATTTGCTCCTTTGTTTTTCTTTCTCACAACTCACAGTGTTCCTATAAATAAAATAAAAACGTATATATGTGTATAAAAACTATCTGCTTCCGATAATCGGTCTAACAGAAAGCGCCCTGCAGATGCCTTTAGTTTATTTGATCTTTTGTCACAGGATACACCGTGTTATAAATTTCATATGATTAACCATGAAAATTGCTTTCAGGTAAAATTACATTCTACCCATTGTTACAACCCGAACGTCACTGAATCCAAAACCACAGACACATATTAAATTATATTAAAACTTAAAACGACGGAATAATCGAATTCGCTTCGTGCCAAATTACCGCTTGTACAAATTTAATAATTTGAATCTCCCGAAGTTCATAAATCAGTACACCGCATGGCGTCGTCAGCACATAAAATTAGAAATCGTAAGTATCAGAAATATCATCGATTAAAATCAATCACTTTCGACGGGCTTTTCCGAAAGCTGTTCTTAATGAAAAGGAGTGGGAGTATACGTTCTTGTTTTTAAGTTTGCTGTTAGTAATAATTAGTAGTAAGTGTGCGAAATAAATCAAGGGAAATAGATGAATGCCAAAGCAAATATCTGATCTTAATTTACAAGAAAGATCCTATAAAAAAAGCTAGTCCTCTTTTCCCCAAAGCCCACGTTGTGATTAAGTTGATTGCACGAACTTTCCCTAACAATTCGACCTCATTAATGTATCCACAGTTGGGATGAGACATCCAACTGCCTAGTAAGAGGGTAAACAAGCCAGTCGAACATCTCGTAATGGAACTGGGTCAAGCACCACAACAAAGCACCTACTTGAATTTTGTGGATCAAGGATTAGACTATGATAAAAATTGTCGGTTGAAATATAAAGCGGGTTTAAATTTGCAGTGGAAAGTTTTTAGGTATACTTGGAAAACAGTTGGGACTTCTAAAATAGCCCTGGCATTCAAAATTCAGAGAAAATATTGCTCAGTTCTGAAGGTTTTAGTTTAAGTTTAGTTAAATTCAGTGTAAGTACAGGATATCCAAGCAAAAGCAAGTGATGAAAAAACGTATAATTGAAGCGAGAAAGTTAATTTTGAATAACGTTTTTTGAGAAATAGTCTTATATTTTATATATTTATATAAATTTAATTTTTGTTCGATAAATGGATTTTGCCAACCTTTTCATGAATAAATATTAATCGCTTCAGAATGGCAGAACGTATTTTGTCAAATTTTGAGTTGTTGCTTTTTTCTGACTATCCGCTACACTTAAATGCAATCATATCGCTTTTATTACAATGAAACCCGCATTACGATATATTTTTCCTAACCTATAATATCGGTATAAGATATAAATACTATAAATAATGTCGTATCTTTGGGAATATTTTCATTATTAAATCTAAATATTCGTTTTTTCTGCAAAATGTATAACTTACCTTAAAAAAACAAAAATTTTATTTGAAATGTCAATAATAATTAATACTCATTCAATTTGACTGAATATTGCCCATCTGTCCAATCGAAGTGTGCTTTGAAAATCAAACTAGCAAAAATGGTAATCAAGTGTCAATAAGTCAATCATATTAAGGTTGCATCTATTTGTAGTGTTTTTTGGCGGCCTTATTTAGAAAAACATTGAAAACGCAACTATTCTGTGAGAATCTAGACGAGTACCTTGCATTAAAACTCAAAGATGTTAGTGTTTTATCTGTGGGAATGAGTATTAATTACTACTGACATTTTAAATATAATGTTGGTGTTTGAGCAGAAAATATATAACTTTTTTCTAAAGGAACGAATGTATTTTGCATTTTATTTATTTTACTGTTATTATAGGCTAAATGTCAAAATGCGGTTTAAACTAGCGTTTTATACCTTTATTGGTTGCAATAAAAGTGATATGGTTCCATTTCATTTTTTTGAAAAAGTGCCGTCAACCGCCCTCTAGCAATGGAAATTACTCAGCGTAGTTGACGACTTAATACGTTCAGCTATTTTGAAGTTATTGATATTTATTTCGGGAATCGTTTAAGCTCTTTCCCCTAGTTTAAACCTTTTAACAAAAAGGGATCGCATTTAAAATGCTGTTCATTTTAGTTAGCTGTGATATGAGATTATTTCTTTAAAAAATTGATTTTATATTCAAGAATGCGATTGCGCCCCCTTGTGGCCATTCCTGAAACTTAAAAATCGTTTTCAGCGCCCTCTTTTGGCTGCTTTAGTCATAAGTTTTTAATGTCTTAAATTTTAAAGAACTATTTTGCAAATTTTTAATGAAACGTATTATCCATTGTTTTTAGAAGTAATATACAAATATAATTGCTAATTATCGTATTTCTGAAAGAAATGATTATATAGCAACTTTTACTTCTCCCTTCACTTTTATTCAACTCAATTATTTTGAATTAGCTATTATTTATTTTTTTTGTTTTTTTTTTATTAAATTAGCAACGGCATCGGTCTTTTCAATCATGCATCTCATTTATATCTGCCTGAAATGGACGAAAATTATATTCGTAATTGAATTAACAATTAACGTAGTCTCCCGTACTAATTTATAACTAATTTTTAAAGTCGAAAAAAAATCTAACTTTCTTTCGAGCAACATTAAAGTGTAAGAAAAAACTCTTACTTGGCCTCTCATCCTCTGAGCCAGCTTGGTCTCCTTCGGAATTCCTATGGTGATGTTTGTGTCTTCTGTGAGAGTGTCTTCTCTCTGTCGGAACATGAACTCCCACGAATACGCTGTGAGCCCGATGCCCTAAAATTTCAAATTTCAACCAGGATGAGTTAAGTTACTTTAATATTTATTGGTCATTCCTGGACTTTATTTCCTATTCTGTGACTTGGATTATGCTTAAATTTTGGTTGGATATATAACCAAAACTAATCAACCAAAACATGTTACCTATTGAAATTTAAGCAGAATCCAGGAATGATCATTAATGGTTTAAATAAGTATGAGATGATATAGTGTGATATATAGTATCAAAATGGGGTGACACGTATTTTATTGCAAATTACGAAATCAGATTGAAGTTTAAATACTTTCTACGCCACCTTAAAGTGCGCACACAGAAAATTATTTTTTATTCATAGTGCACCACAGAAATTGTTAGATTAGATTAAATTGTTAATTTTGTTGGAAATAAAATTATAAAAATAAAATATAAATTGTGTAATTACGATTGTATTTTTATCGAGTTCTCGAATATTCGCTTCATGAGATAATAGAAAATACGAAAATATCTTTCTAATTAGACATCAAAATCCACTTTAGCATATATGGATCGAATTCATTTTTACGTCAACCTTAACAACTACGGAAAATTTTTAACGGTCTCCATCTTAAAGTTACGTTTATCGGCAAAACTCATTCTATTTGTATCTTATAGTTTACACTCTTTAATTGCTTAAATATTTAAAAAATGATATATTGTAATATAGGCACTGGGTTAGTAAAAAGTACCGAAATGCTTAATGTTTCAAAAACGGCCAAAACGAACGACAACATTCAATACGGGGCTTCCCGAATATGCTGAATTCAAAAATAATGACGGCAGTGTGGTCAGACTTCAGCGATGATATTTATAATTCCGGTAACCTTTCACTGACACTTCTAAAATGTCCTATGTACAAAATAGCAAATCTGACAACATTGATCTTAGTATTGTTAAATTTTGCAAGTTCAAAAACCACCAGCCATTGAATTTTATCATTCGAGAGTGGCCGTTTTGGAAATATTTTAACGTAAATAAATAAATAAAAATTGTGCAATGACAATTGTATTTTTATATTGTATTATTCTGTGCATTTGATATGGTGTTCTCAAATATTCGCCTTTATTAGATAATAGTAAATACTATAATATCATTTAATTTAACATCAAAACCCACTTAGTATATTTGGATAGATTTTTTCACGTAAATCTTATCGACGACGGAATCTTTTTAACGATTTCAGTACGTACTTGAGTTTGTTGATGTGATTATAAAAAGTAACATCTGACGTCATTAGTTTGTATCGTTGTTGCGAGAGATTTAAAAGTGGAATCCCGGATTTGTTTATTAATCTATCAATTAAAATTGGATACCTAACGGAACATTTTTATGAAGGTATAATGGAGTGTTTTGCACAATAATCGGTATGCTGTCGAAATTTAATTCGTTTTATCATAACGTTATGTTGCTTCCTAATCTGTTATAATAAATCCCTTTGTAATTTTGCCGCGGAAGCAAGAGATCAGGCACTGAAGTTTAAATCTGTCTAAATTTTAGTGTTCGGTTTTTTGTTTTCAATTACCAGTAATTTTAAGAAATCTGCGTCTGTGGTCGGCACCTGACAATTTTTAGAAATATCACAAAAATAGTTTTTTTTGGTTGAACATACAAATGCGACTTAGAATTTTCGGCAGAATTCAAAAATGTCATAACATGGATGTTTCATTTAAAATAATGGTGTCAGTTGGAGAATTTTTAAAAATAATTTTTCTCTTCCCCACATCATTACCCACCGTTTTCATGGGCCTGTGACTAAAATGGCGTTTATGCAACTCGTTGCGTAACTATATTTAAATTTGAGAGATTTTTATTTAATGAGGTTTTTTATCACCGTATTTCTCACCCTAATGGATTTCTAAAATTTCTGAAATTCTGCACCGTCGAGTAAATCTTTACTAATTCCATCATAACCATAATTTGCTAGAAAACATAAAAAATAATTGATTGTTTTTAAATAAACCAATTCTTTTCAGAGTGCCATACAAATTCTTGTGTCGGCGTTCGTCATATGTTTCTGTTAATTGCAGCATTTTTTCCAGCTACTCCCCTTTTTCCTCCTTGAATCTTACCTTGAAGGGGATAAGATAATATGTCCCAAGTAGGTTATTATTCTCCGCTATTTAACTTCACTATATATTCAGCATTCTTGGCAGACACCACATCTTGAATGCTTGTAATTTACTTATGGAATTTGCTTTTAATGTGCGCAACTGACCAAATATAACATTTACAGGTTCTTAGTTTAAAGTTTAGATTGCTCTGTTGTACACCTAATCAGGTCTCAATTTCTATTTAACATACACCCAGATATTTAAATCGCGTCACTTGTTCTAATACGTGGATTATCAGTTTTACTCACGACCATATACTTAGTTTTTTTTTATATTAATTTTCAGGCCTAGTCTTGTGATTCAATAGTTCCTGTGGATGGTTTGTATTATCCGCAGTGTCGTCTGCGTATCTGATGTTGTAAATGGGTTTCCCGTTGGCTTTAATTCCCATAGAGTTATTTGTTGTGTTGGGACTGGGCAATTGACCATTTTATAATTGACCGGTCAATTGACAAAAAAAATTGACCGGTCAATTGCACAACCCTAGTTATTCGATACCGATTTACGAAGTAAACCAATACGCGGCTGAATAATAAATGGATAATTGGCATTTTAGATAATCAAAAACGATTTTCCAATGTGAATAATCGAATTATTCCTATGACGCATTTTAAGCTCGAAATTTCGGTCATTGTCGAATTTTTGCCGTCAATTAGTGATTCAAATCTTTCCGTTATCATTTTTGGCGGATATTAAACATTTTCTTGCGTCAATTATCGTTGAGTAATTTATCTACAAAACTCACCTTCGAAATCTGTCTCGTCGAACGGGTGCTTTTGTTTTTCCGCCCGAGGGTCTTTTGGAGCTTCGTCATCATGCACATCCATAATAATTTAGATATTACCACCTAAAAATAAAAAATAAATTAGATATGGAAATTTTTAAATGATGGACGCATCCGGTTCCGTAAATATTCAAATTTTCGTAAAAGCAATTAGTCGATTGAAAAACACGTTTTTCCAATCTAAACGTCAAGTGTTTTGGTGGTGAAAACGCGCTTGATATATGCAATAGCAGTAGTATTGTGAATTTCGTTCGTTTGGAGGAGAATTAAAACTTATAAATGATAAAAAACGTACAAATTTCCTTTTAAAAAGGAATTTATTATGCTATTTATGCTATAAAAACAATTATAAACAGTAAAACTCTTTGGTTAAATTTTTCGTCACACATAACATAAGACTTACAATGAGGAAGGAATAATGAGCAGAAGAAGGGTGTACCAAATTAAAATAATATTATTTGCTATCTCACCTATTTTTCCAAAACTTATTTTTTGGACATTTACGAACCAGCTTCGATGGAGCTGAAGTCTTAAAAAAACTTTTAAATTCTATTCAAATTTCAGGAGAGTTTTTGGGACATGCTGTACATTTGAAACTGCTTTGTTGCATGTTTGTTGTCATCGGAAAGCCTTGAAAAATCTGAGTGTATAAAATATGCGTAATTTAACACTCGCATTGTAACGCCTTATAAAATCAGATTTATTTATTGACAATATGAGAATTGATAATTTATTTTATAACTGTTTTTTTTTAAGCCGCTTTCCTTATTTACTCAGACATTTACAGCGGTGGAAATAAAATTGGAAATTCAATGGCTCGTTGATTTCAGAAAAATAAAAAAAAACAACGTCCAGCTATATGCAAGACGTTGTTTCCAGACGTAACACAAATTAAAACAATTAAAATGCTGACAGATAGATATGGGTATGGTATTTAAATTTAGAAAAGGTCTATACGTTAACTCCAGGCATTTTTCTATACAACATTAATCTCATTAATATTAAAGAACTTTATAATCATGTACAATATTTCAATTTAATTCCTAAAAGTTACCTAGTTATTGTACATTCAATTATAGTTTCTGATGTTATCGTAGTATTTTCTTTGTTCTTGATGGCGTGCGCTTGAAAACAATTAATTTCAAAATCATTCTAACGACCTTTACTACGAGAAAATAAGACAAAAATTATTATTCAGTTTTATCCAATTCCAGGCAGCGGTGGAAATAAAATTGGAAATTCAATGGCTCGTTGATTTCAGAAAAATAAAAAAAAACAACGTCCAGCTATATGCAAGACGTTGTTTCCAGACGTAACACAAATTAAAACAATTAAAATGCTGCTTCCTTTAGGTTATGAGACTACATGAATAGTGCTTGGATTTGTATTGTTGATCTTTCTGAGAAAATTATTTGTATAAAATTAATGTGAGAAATTATTGTAAAAGCTTACATCGGCTCAACATTAAGTGTTCTATTAAAGAAAACGTACCTTTCAATAATTAGGATTATAAAAATCCAAGAAAAAGGAACTCGATCAAAGTTATGCAACCCTCTCTTGATTATATACGCGGCTTGCACACGTCAAACGAAATCAAGCTTGCTGAGGTTACTAGGTAAATCTCAGATTGCGAATAATCATTCTTATATAAATAAATAATCGCGAACAGCCTACACCAGCACAAACCGCTTCTGTCCAGAACGATTTAGATAAGCCCAAGCTACTGCGGTAATACCTGTCAGGTACAAGATAAGTTCCCTATATACGAGAACAACCTCGATAAGGAACTGAAATATGTTGCCTTTTCCCTCAAACAAATCTAAAAAAGGTTTTAGTTTTAGCAGTTTTAGTTAAGGTATTTTTATACTGTTTGAAAAATTTTATTTATTTTTACAAAATTAAATAAGAAAACTGCATTATGATGTGGTTTCCAGCTAGAAAGCTATTGGGTAGTCTAGTCTTAAATATGTCACTTAAGCAAATAATCTATTTAGCTATAGAATAAAACTTAGTCCACCAAAGTATGTCCTCTTTAGTAGTGAGGTCGGGATATTTCATCTGTCTCCGTTCCATGTAAAACAAATCGAAGGATGGTCAATCAAATTAAAATTTAATAAAAAAAGTCATTCTTATACATTGCAAAACAAACTTAACCAAATTTATCCTCATCTTTATTATATCGATTAATACTATTGAATTGAAATAGCACGTTGTTGTGCTAAGAAGACCCGGTGTGCACCAGTGGCTAACCCCGATAGATTATAGCGTAACTTATCACTGATTGGAACAGCCCATAGTACACCAGCTTTAAAACGTCAATGGATACCGTATCTCGAATATTTTGGATTAAGTATGAGCAGGAGCTTAATTTGGGCAATATGTTGTCGATGTAATGATTCCATGTAAGTTTGTTGTCAATGTGCAGACCTAGAAACTTAGTAGCGTTTTCTATAGAACGTCCTTCTAATTGTAGAAGAATACTGGAATCAACGCGAGTATTTCTTGTGACTATTTCCATAGCTATTGACTTAGATTTATTTAATTGTAGTCCGTTATCGCGACACCATTCATTCACCCTCGTGACGCTTGGTTTTGCGGGCCCTTTTAAATTAGGTCTGCTTTTAACTGTAACTAAAATGCTTGTGTCATCTGCATACAGTACAAATAATGCATCTATATTATCCTGAGGAAGATCGTTAATAAAACAATTAAAGAGGAGCGATGATAGGCAGGATCCTTGCGGGGTACCTCTGCCTACATATTGGGAGTAAACTCAAAAAATAAATGAAGACTCATGATTTAAATTTTCGGATTTTTTACAGGTTATACGCTGCTTCGAATGACGTAAACGGAAACACATGTTTGCACAAAGTAAGTCATAAGAATAACTATCAACAAAAGTTTATTTTCCAAGCGCCACTTGGCGATACATGTAAGGAAATGCCTTTTCAGATCGTCCGTCAGTCAGGCTGCAGCTTCATAATAGGGTATTGACTATTTCAAGCTCTTCGGTATTTCGTATTGTCACGTGGGAGATTCGTTCGATCAATGCAACAACAAACACTACTTATTTGCCGCCTTTAAAGTGTATTTAAATGGCGATTAATATTTATGACCTAGCATTTTTAGTAAACTATAAAAAGTTTATCCGCGTGGGTTTAAAAATACACATTCAGGATATTAGAGGTGTTAAAATAATAAATTCATCATTTACATCATATTTTTTAAATCTGACTTTTTTTTATAAAAAAATTACTTTGCAGAAATTCGCAGCATCGCCATTATAAGCCGTAGTCATCTTACATTCTGCTAGGCTCACTCAGGAACGCAGGTATTTGATTTTATTTGGGGTGCCGTTCTATAAAAATAGAAACCATGACAGATAGATATGGGTATGGTAGTTAAATTTAGAAAAGGTCTATACGTTAACTCCAGGCATTTTTCTATACAACATTAATCTCATTAATATTAAAGAACTTTATAATCATGTACAATATTTCAATTTAATTCCTAAAAGTTACCTAGTTATTGTACATTCAATTATAGTTTCTGATGTTATCGTAGTATTTTCTTTGCTCTTGATGGCGTGCGCTTGAAAACAATTAATTTCAAAATCATTCTAACGACCTTTACTACGAGAAAATAAGACAAAAATTATTATTCAGTTTTATCCAATTCCAGGCATCGGTAATTTTTCTTGGCTGTAGTAGCGAAAGAGTGTTGGATATTTAAACATTTATTTTAATGATCGTGTGGTTGCGAGATTATCAGACGGAGAGAAAATGGGAGAATTCCTTTTCCTATATGAAATGCGTCTTAACGGGAAAAACCTACACACGAAATTGCGATAATTGCAAAAAATTGTTATAAAGAATTTGGTCGAAACGGTTTGAATGTAAAATGTCTCAACTGGGTGTTTGAAATGGTGTATAAAAAATGGTGATTTTGAAAAATCTGTTTTACGCAATAATTATTTTTTATTTTTAATGGAGTAAAGGTGCAACTACCAAATGACACACAAATTCTATTTTTTCAAATGAGAATAAATGAAACTTTTGATACTTTGCAAATGACACAGAAATGCTTCTAACTGAAGATACCCGAGAAAAGTATCGCGAAACGATACCTTATCGCACAAACTATAGGGAATGGAGGCAAAACTTAATTGGGGTATTACAAACCTTCAATTTTTTTTAATGTTTTGTTTCATTTTTCGGCGAGTACCAATTTTCTTATTTTAATTACACTACCTGATCTTAAAACCTGAAATTTTTTAAAGGAAATATTACAGAAAGTAAAATCATTAGGCATATACAACCTTTTATAAAATGGCCTTAATTTTTAATGCTTAATATGACAAGATTATAAAAATGGCTAGTCTCCGTTATTCCCGTCCTCGTCGACAACAAAACTTCCTCAATTGAAACAATAAACGCTTCCGAATGAAGAAATTGGCAGATATTTTGCGCCTTGCAAACGTCATTTTTCACATAAAAAATTAAAAATGTCAAAAACGGTTAGACTTAGGTATAGGACATAATGCACAAAATATGCCTAGAATTTTGGATCGTATTAAGAAATAAAATAGTATACCAGGTGTTCCGTTTAAAATGAGAAAGTTGAGTTTCGCCCACGACAAATGAAACGCCCTGTATATACAAAATTAAAACAAATTATGGGTCTGTAATACCCTAATTAACTTTTCCATTTAACTTTTGAGATAAGGTAGTATACCAAAATAAACGGCCCACCTTATACAATGGGTTGCATATCTTCGTATGTACCTAAATTAATCCTAAGTAACTGAGGGGGATTCTGGAATTATAATTGATCATACAGCCCAAATTGTGCTTTATTGTAACAGAAACGGTAAATCCACACAAGCAGCTATTCATTTCGTTTTATATTTTTATAGAACGCGATTGTGTTCTTAGCAGTCATTCCTAACAAGGCAGTATGTTGAAATAGGGCAGAAAAAAGGCAATGTGGGTCAAATTAAATAAATCAAGCCCAATCTGCCGATAGAAGAGTACCGCTAAATACAGTGCTTGGCTTTGTTTTAT